GGGCGTGAGAGAGAGAGGGCGTGAGAGAGCAGGTCACACTGAGAGAGAGGGCGTGAGAGAGCAGGTCAGACTGAGAGAGAGGGCGTGAGAGAGCAGGTCAGACTGAGAGAGAGGGCGTGAGAGAGCAGGTCAGACTGAGAGAGAGGGTGTGAGAGAGCAGGTCAGACTGAGAGAGAGGGCGTGAGAGAGCAGGTCAGACTGAGAGAGAGCAGGTCAGACTGAGAGAGAGGGCGTGAGAGAGCAGGTCAGACTGAGAGAGAGCAGGTCAGACTGAGAGAGAGGGCGTGAGAGAGCAGGTCAGACTGAGAGAGAGGGCGTGAGAGAGCAGGTCAGACTGAGAGAGAGGGCGTGAGAGAGCAGGTCACTGTGAGAGAGCGGGCGTGAGAGAGCAGTTTAGACTGAGAGAGAGCAGGTCAGACTGAGAGAGAGGGCGTGAGAGAGCAGGTCAGACTGAGAGAGAGGGCGTGAGAGAGCAGGTCAGACTGAGAGAGAGGGCGTGAGAGAGCAGGTCACAGTGAGAGAGAGGGCGTGAGAGAGCAGTTTAGACTGAGAGAGAGCAGGTCAGACTGAGAGAGAGGGCGTGAGAGATCAGGTCAGACTGAGAGAGAGGGCGTGAGAGAGCAGGTCAGACTGAGAGAGAGGGCGTGAGAGAGCAGGTCAGACTGAGAGAGAGCAGGTCAGACTGAGAGAGAGGGCGTGAGAGAGCAGGTCAGACTGAGAGAGAGGGCGTGAGAGAGCAGGTCAGACTGAGAGAGAGCAGGTCAGACTGAGAGAGAGGGCGTGAGAGAGCAGGTCAGACTGAGAGAGAGGGCGTGAGAGAGCAGGTCAGACTGAGAGAGAGGGCGTGAGAGAGCAGGTCACTGTGAGAGAGCGGGCGTGAGAGAGAGAGGGCGTGAGAGAGCAGGTCACACTGAGAGAGAGGGCGTGAGAGAGCAGGTCAGACTGAGAGAGAGGGCGTGAGAGAGCAGGTCACACTGAGAGAGAGGGCGTGAGAGAGCAGGTCACACTGAGAGAGAGGGCGTGAGAGAGCAGGTCACAGTGAGAGAGAGCAGGTCACACTGAGAGAGAGCAGTCACAGTCAGAGAGAGCAGTCACAGTGAGAGAGAGCAGGTCACAGTGAGAGAGAGCAGTCACACTGAGAGAGAGCAGTCACAGTGAGAGAGAGCAGTCACAGTGAGAGAGAGCAGGTCACAGTGAGAGAGAGCAGGTCACAGTGAGAGAGAGCAGTCACAGTGAGAGAGAGCAGTCACAGTGAGAGAGAGCAGTCACAGTGAGAGAGCAGGTCACAGTGAGAGAGCAGGTCACAGTGAGAGAGAGCAGTCACAGTGAGAGAGAGAGCAGTCACAGTGAGAGAGAGCAGTCACAGTGAGAGAGCAGGTCACAGTGAGAGAGAGCAGGTCACAGTGAGAGAGAGCAGGTCACAGTGAGAGAGAGCAGGTCACAGTGAGAGAGAGCAGGTCACAGTGAGAGAGAGCAGGTCACAGTGAGAGAGAGCAGGTCACAGTGAGAGAGCAGGTCACAGTGAGAGAGCAGGTCACAGTGAGAGAGAGCAGGTCACAGTGAGAGAGAGCAGGTCACAGTGAGAGAGAGCAGGTCACAGTGAGAGAGAGAGGCAGGTCACAGTGAGAGAGAGCAGGTCACAGTGAGAGAGAGCAGGTCACAGTGAGAGAGAGCAGGTCACAGTGAGAGAGAGCAGTCACAGTGAGAGAGAGCAGTCACAGTGAGAGAGAGCAGTCACAGTGAGAGAGCAGGTCACAGTGAGAGAGAGCAGGTCACAGTGAGAGAGAGCAGGTCACAGTGAGAGAGAGCAGGTCACAGTGAGAGAGAGCAGGTCACAGTGAGAGAGAGCAGGTCACAGTGAGAGAGAGCAGGTCACAGTGAGAGAGCAGGTCACAGTGAGAGAGAGCAGGTCACAGTGAGAGAGAGCAGTCACAGTGAGAGAGAGCAGGTCACAGTGAGAGAGAGCAGGTCACAGTGAGAGAGAGCAGGTCACAGTGAGAGAGAGCAGGTCACAGTGAGAGAGAGCAGGTCACAGTGAGAGAGAGCAGGTCACAGTGAGAGAGAGCAGGTCACAGTGAGAGAGAGCAGGTCACAGTGAGAGAGAACCCTGAGACACAGAGACATAACCATCTTCCCTTCTATTTTACCAGCAGGGTATTATTTCCCACAAAAACTTCTGGTAAAGAGACCAGAGAGAGACCAGAGCGAGACCAGAGCGAGACCAGAGCGAGGCCTGGGAGAGACCAGAGAGAGACTAGAGCGAGACCAGAGAGAGACCAGAGCGAGACCAGAGCGAGACCAGAGCAGGACCAGAGAGAGAGACCAGAGCGAGAGACTAGAGAGAGATCAGAGAGAGAGACCAGAGCGAGACCAGAGAGAGAGAGAAAGGGCGGAGTGACATGTTTTCTGATGTTAGCATGGATGGATCTAAACACAGCTGCAGGTCTGTGACTGATGAGGAGCAGTGTAGGACCAGGGAGGAGAACCACTCAGCTATGGTCTGTGCTCAGGACCATGGGTTTAAACACCAGGAACCACTTCACCATGAGAAGCAGTAGACATGCTCTATACGTAAGGGCTTCTCTGCCTCCTCCCATGTCACCTCCCCCCTCTCCTCAGTCTCTCTCTTCCCTCTCACACCCCTCTCCCCCCTCTCTCCCCCTTCCCTCCCCCCTCTCATCTGGACTCTGCAGACAGATCTCATCACGGAGAAGCAATAAAATCATGTCGTTACGGAAACAATGCCTTGACGACCTGCAACCTGCGATTTCACACTGAGACCAGAGAGAGACCAGAGAGAGACCAGAGAGAGACCAAAGAGAGATCAGAGAGAGGTAATAATAATAATAATAATTCACATTGTCTCATTCCATCTCAGTAATCGTTCATTTAAAATATAACCTTTGACACTTGTGTGAATCCAGGTTTCTCTCTTCCCTCGGGGTCCAACTCTGTCCTCACAGACCTGGGGTTGTGTTTAGACCCATCCACGCATATTTTCACAAGCACTATGTCCCACATTGTCAACCCTGGTTTAGTCCTGGTTTAGTCCTGGTTTAGTCCTGGTTTTGTCCTGGTTTTGTCCTGGTTTTGTCCTGGTTTTGTCCTGGTATGGTCCTGGTTTAGTCCTGGTGTAGCTCCTATTTTGGCTGTTTACAGTATGTTCAGTCTGCTCGCTCAGACACTAATGTCTTCGTGACCACTTTGCTGCTCTCTGATTGGTCGCTGCACGAGCGTCCTGAGGAAAAGTTGAGCAAAGTGTATCTCCTGTGGGCGTCCATTTTCCGCTCCTGCTCCTCCTCTTTGACTTTCCCGCGCAGTCCGTGCGTCTCTACAGCGCAGTCCGTGCGTCTCTACAGAGCAGTCCGTGCGTCTCTACAGCGCAGTCCGTGCGTCTCTACAGAGCAGTCTGTGCGTCTCTACAGCGCAGTCCGTGCGTCTCTACAGAGCAGTCCGTGCGTCTCTACAGCGCAGTCCGTGCGTCTCTACAGAGCAGTCCGTGCGTCTCTACAGCGCAGTCCGTGCGTCTCTACAGCGCAGTCCGTGCGTCTCTACAGCGCAGTCCGTGCGTCTCTACAGAGCAGTCCGTGCGTCTCTACAGAGCAGTCCGTGCGTCTCTACAGCGCAGTCCGTGCGTCTCTACAGAGCAGTCCGTGCGTCTCTACAGCGCAGTCCGTGCGTCTCTACAGAGCAGTCCGTGCGTCTCTACAGCGCAGTCCGTGCGTCTCTACAGCGCAGTCCGTGCGTCTCTACAGCGCAGTCCGTGCGTCTCTACAGCGCAGTCCGTGCGTCTCTACAGCGCAGTCCGTGCGTCTCTACAGCGCAGTCCGTGCGTCTCTACAGAGCAGTCTGTGCGTCTCTACAGCGCAGTCCGTGCGTCTCTACAGAGCAGTCCGTGCGTCTCTACAGCGCAGTCCGTGCGTCTCTACAGCGCAGTCCGTGCGTCTCTACAGCGCAGTCCGTGCGTCTCTACAGCGCAGTCCGTGCGTCTCTACAGCGCAGTCCGTGCGTCTCTACAGAGCAGTCCGTGCGTCTCTACAGCGCAGTCCGTGCGTCTCTACAGAGCAGTCCGTGCGTCTCTACAGCGCAGTCCGTGCGTCTCTACAGAGCAGTCCGTGCGTCTCTACAGCGCAGTCCGTGCGTCTCTACAGCGCAGTCCGTGCGTCTCTACAGAGCAGTCCGTGCGTCTCTACAGCGCAGTCCGTGCGTCTCTACAGCGCAGTCCGTGCGTCTCTACAGCGCAGTCCGTGCGTCTCTACAGCGCAGTCCGTGCGTCTCTACAGAGCAGTCCGTGCGTCTCTACAGCGCAGTCCGTGCGTCTCTACAGAGCAGTCCGTGCGTCTCTACAGCGCAGTCCGTGTGTCTCTACAGCGCAGTCCGTTTGTGCCGTAACGCTCGTCATCATAGACTTTGCATTGAAAGAAGACGCAACGCATGATCCGGTCTGAAAGCACCATTAGCAGGTTAGAAGTCTCTCCTCTTCTCCCTTTGCTCTCTCTCCTCCCTCTCTCCTCTCTCGTCTCTCATCTCTCTCCTCCCTCTGTCCTCTCTCTCCTCTCTCTCCTCTCTCTCTCCTCCCTCTCTCCTCTCTCCCCTCTCTCTCTCCTCTCGTCCCTTCCTCGTCCGTCTCTCTCTCCTCTCTCGTCCCTCTCTTGTCCCTTTCTCTCTCCTCTCTCTCATCCCTCTCTCTCCTCTCTCTCCTCTCTCTCCTCCCTCTGTCCTCTCTCTCCTCTCTCTCCTCTCTCTCTCCTCCCTCTCTCCTCTCTCTCCTCTCTCCCCTCTCTCTCTCCTCTCGTCCCTTCCTCGTCCGTCTCTCTCTCCTCTCTCGTCCCTCTCTTGTCCCTTTCTCTCTACTCTCTCTCCTCTCTCCTCCCTCTCTCCTCTCTCTCCTCCATCTACTCTCTCTCTCACCTCCATCTCCCTCTCCTCTCTCTCTCCTCCCTCTCTCCTCTCTCTCTCCTCTCTCGTCCCTCTCTCCTCTCTCTCCTCTCTCGTCCCTCTCTCTCTCCTCTCTCTCTCCTCTCTCGTCCCTCTCTCGTCCCTCTCTCCTCTCTCTCGTCCCTCTCCTCTCTCGCTCCTCCCTCTCTGCCAGCGGCACAGTGGCTGAGTGGATAGCACTCTCGCCTCTCAGCAAGAAGGTCCTGGGTTCGAATCCCGGTTGGACCACGGCCTTTCTGAGTGGAGTTTGCATGTTCTCCCCGTGTCTGCGTAGGTTTCCTCCGGGTACTCTGGTTTCCCCTACCACTAAAAATATGTACAATAGGTCTGGCATGTGCCTCCTGTACTGGCGACCCCCACTCCCAAAAATCACAATTGTAAACCACTTTGAGACTCCGATGTCGAATGAAAAGGCGGTATATAAATAAATAAAGATTACTACTACTCTCTCCTCTCTCTCTCCTCTCTCGTCCCTCTCTCTCTCCTCTCTGCTCTCTCGTCCATCTCTCTCTCTCGTCCCTCTCTCTCTCCTCTCTGCTCTCTCGTCCCTCTCTCACCTACATCTCTCTCTCTCGTCCCTCTCTCCTCTCCCTCCTCCCTCTCTCCTCTCTCTCCTCTCTCTCCTCTCTCTCTCACCTCCATCTCCCTCTCACCTCCATCTCTCTCTCCTCTCTCTCTCCTCTCTCTCTCCTCCCTCTCTCCTCTCTCTCTCCTCTCTCCTCTCTCTCTCCTCTCTCGTCCCTCTCCTCTCTCTCTCACCTCCATCTCTCTCTCCTCCCTCATCCTGAAACTATCGCTCTTTGGATCGTGCTGCAGTGGCTCAGACAGACCCCGGCTCCAAACCCAGGGCAGTGTGAGTGAGGGGAGTGCGCTACATAAATACATCGGCCACATCCATCAGTCTGATCGGATCGGACTCATTAAACATTCACATTTGTGTCCCTCCTTCAGTAACGAGCTCCGATAATTGGATCATAGAGACTACAGCGCTTAGAGCGATAGAGACCAGAGGAAGACTGGAGGGAGAGACCAGAGGGAGACCAGAGGGAGACCAGAGGGAGAACAGAGGGAGACCAGAGGAAAATCAGAGGGAGACCAGAGGGAGCCCAGAGGGAGACCAGAGGAAAACCAGAGGGAGACCAGAGGGAGACCAGAGGAAAACCAGAGGGAGACCAGAGGGAGACCAGAGAGAGAGACCAGAGAGAGAAACCAGAGAGAGACAGAGAGAGAGACCAGAGGGAGACCAGAGGGAGACCAGAGAGAGAGACCAGAGAGAGAGACCAGAGAGAGACCAGAGAGAGAGACCAGAGGGAGACCAGAGAGAGAGACCAGAGAGAGAGACCAGAGAGAGACCAGAGAGAGACCAGAGGGAGACCAGAGGGAGACCAGAGGGAGACCAGAGGGAGACCAGAGAGAGAGACCAGAGAGAGAAGAGAGGGAGACCATAGAGAGACCAGAGAGAGACCAGAGAGACCAGAGAGAGACCAGAGAGAGACCAGAGAGAGACCAGAGAGAGACCATAGAGAGACCAGAGAGAGACCATAGACACTCACTGGCTCCAGTCCGTGATGTTGACGTAGCAGAACATGAGGCGGCGTGCGTGATATGGGAGCCAGCAGACGACAAAGGCGATCACCACCACTCCTGAAAAAACACACACACACACGCAGACACACACACGCGCACACACACACGCGCACACACACACACACACGTTGCAGCAGAGATTGTCTACACATGGACAATGCAAAACCTGGTCCTTCTAGTCTACTGCGGGTCTGTCTCTGGTCTCTCTCTGGTCTCTGGTCTCTCCCTGGTCCCTGTCTCCTTCATCAGTTTGTGGCTCGTGGCGTTTGTTCGACAGCAGCTGCATCAGCGTCTTTAGGAAGTTTAATCAGAAATAAAAATATTCAGCAGAATAAATAATTTAAATGTATTTGTGTATCGCCCTAAAACTCAGCTACAGACGTCTCTGTAGACCCAGGACTGAGGCTGTATAGACCCAGGACTGAGTAGACCCAGGACTGAGGCTGTAGAGGACTGAGGCTGTAGATCCAGGACTGAGGCTGTAGACCCAGGACTGAGGCTGTAGACCCAGGACTGAGGCTGTAGACCCAGGACTGAGGCTGTAGACCCAGGACTGAGGCTGTAGACCCAGGACTGAGGCTGTAGACAGGGCTGAGGCTGTAGACCCAGGGCTGAGGCTGTAGACAGGGCTGAGGCTGTAGACCCAGGACTGAGGCTGTAGACAGGGCTGAGGCTGTAGATCCAGGACTGAGGCTGTAGACCCAGGACTGAGGCTGTAGATCCAGGACTGAGGCTGTAGACCCAGGACTGAGGCTGTAGACCCAGGACTGAGGCTGTAGACCCAGGACTGAGGCTGTAGACCTGAATGTTACTTTTTCTACTGAGACAGACATTTCTGAGGAATGTCAAAAACCATCAGCTCAGTTTAAAACAGCACAAAAAAACATTTTTTATTTACAAAAATGTTTCCGTCTCACCTTTGACCTTTGACCTCTGACCTCTGTTTCGCTCTTCATGAGTTTCCACTGGAGGATGACTCTTTCAACAAGACAAACTCCATCTGGTCCCTCGCTGGTCTCTCTCTTGTCTCTCTCTGATCTCTCTCTGGTCCCTCTCTGGTCTCTCTCCGGTCTCTCTCTGGTCTCTCTCTGGTCCCTCTCTGGTCTCTTTCCGGTCCCTCTTTGGTCTCTCTTTGGTCCTTCTCTGGTCCCAGTCTGTTCTCTATCTGGTCTCTGTCTGGTCCCTCTCTGGTCCCTCTCTGGTCCCTCTCTGGGCTCTCCTTGGTCTCTCTCCGGTCCCTCTTTGGTCTCTCATTGGTCCTTCTCTGGTCCATCTCTAGTCCCTCTCGGTCTCTCTCTGGTCTCTGCTTGTGAAAAATGTCAGTGTCTATAAATAGTTTCTGGTTTTGTGCAGAGTGTTCTCCTCAAAAGATCAAATCAATGATGAGTAGTCTCAGACAGGACCGGGTGGATGAATGAAGAAGTGCTCACCGACACAGGGTGGATGAATGAAGAAGTGCTCACTGACACAGGGTGGATGAATGAAGAAGTGCTCACTGACACAGGGTGGATGAATGAAGAAGTGCTCACCGACACAGGGTGGATGAATGAAGAAGTGCTCACCGACACAGGGTGGATGAATGAAGAAGTGCTCACTGACACAGGGTGGATGAATGAAGAAGTGCTCACTGACACAGGGTGGATGAAGGAAGAAGTGCTCACTGACACAGGGTGGATGAATGAAGAAGTGCTCACCGACACAGGGTGGATGAATGAAGAAGTGCTCACTGACACAGGGTGGATGAATGAAGAAGTGCTCACTGACACAGGGTGGATGAATGAAGAAGTGCTCACTGACACAGGGTGGATGAATGAAGAAGTGCTCACTGACACAGGGTGGATGAATGAAGAAGTGCCGCTCTGCACTGAGGACCAGATGGAGTTTGTCTTGTTTAAAGAGTTGATGAAGACGAGTCACTTTCCCAGCGGAAACACAACTCATGAAGAGGGGAACCGGAGGATCAGGGGTCATTGTGTGTGTGTGTATGCGTATGTGTGTGTGTGTGTGTGCGCGTGCATGCTTGTGTCTGTGTGTGGCCCTTACACCTGTGAGTGTGTGACCATCCTCTGACCTGTGGTTATGCTTGTTTACAGCGTCGTGGTGAAGCTGGACCAGGTCAAGGGTGTGTCCTCTGTTATGGATCACTGTGACCTCTGTATCTCTTTTTGTCGCTGCATCTGACGTTTTCACATGTGTTTGTAGAGGGAGACAAGGACTACACACACACACAGACACTGCCAAACGCACACAAGCACACCCAAACACACACCCACACTCACACACACGTATTCTACATGCACTTTGGTATGATAAATAATGTGTGTTAGTAAAACACTGCAGTTCGACAAGTTTATCAATACAATGTTCTTTACTCATCTACAGCCTCAGTCCTGGGTCTACAGCCTCAGTCCTGGGTCTACAATCTCAGTCCTGGGTCTACAGCCTCAGTCCTGGGTCTACAGCCTCAGTCCTGGGTCTACAGCCTCAGTCCTGGGTCTACAGCCTCAGTCCTGGGTCTACAGCCTCAGTCCTGGGTCTACAGCCTCAGTCCTGGGTCTACAGCCTCAGTCCTGGGTCTACAGCCTCAGTCCTCGATCAAGCTCCGGAAACAAAGAGAAATCCTGTTTTCTCAGACTGGTGTCAAAGTGTTGAAACGAGAGCTCACAGTTATGACAAGGACTTCCTGTAAAACAGGCTCTAATCAGCAGAGGAAGAGGACCAGAGGGAGACCAGAGGGAGACCAGAGGGAGACCAGAAGGAGACCAAAGAGAGACCAGAGGGAGACCAGAGGGAGACCAGTGGGAGACGACAAGAGCAAGAGACCATAAAGAGAGAGACCAGGCAGAGAACTGTGTGTGTGTGCGTGTGTGTGTGTGTGTGTGTGTGTGTGTGTGCGTGTGTGCGTGTGTGTGTGTGCGTGTGTGTGTGTGTGTGCGTGTGTGTGTGTGAGAACATCTCACTTATGTGTAAATGTCAGCTGTAAGTTGAGTGGTGTCTTCAGGTGCAGCACAAACACCATGTGGAATAAAACCATGTGTTTGAATCATCAAAAGAATCGGTTCAAAACATAGTTTCTGATGTAGAACTTGACCAAAGAGAGACCAGAGCGAGACCAGAGAGAGACTAGAAAGAGCGAGAGAGAGAGACCAGAGCGAGACCAGAGCGAGACTAGAGAGAGCGAGAGAGAGAGACCAGAGTGAGACCAGAAGGGACGAGAGTGAGACCATGCAGAGAGAACAGAGAAAGAGAGAGAGAGTGTGTAACATTATGGAGCCTTCAAAATCTGCATTATGTGCAGCAGCTTCTATAAAACAGAAAACTATTAGGATCAGACCAGCATCGCTCTGGAATTATATCCAACTGTTAAAAAGCTGGAGATGTTTCCCATTCAGAATGGAGAACAAGTTCCTGAAACTACTACAGCCTCAGTCCTGGGTCTACAGCCTCAGTCCTGGGTCTACAGCCTCAGTCCTGGGTCTACAGCCTCAGTCCTGGGTCTACAGCCTCAGTCCTGGGTCTACAGCCTCAGTCCTGGGTCTACAGCCTCAGTCCTGGGTCTACAGCCTCAGTCCTGGGTCTACATTTATGGACATTGGTCATGGGTCTACTGGATCTACAGCCTCAGTCCTGGGTCTACAGCCTCAGTCCTAGGTCTACATTTATGGACATTGGTCATTATGCACTAATGTCTTTAACAACTCGTTGTGTGCCATTGACGCCATTAATACGTCAATTGCCTTTTTCGCTATTTTCACGTTCCCACATGTCTATTGTATCTAATATGTATGGGGATGGCTTGAGAGCATATTGAATCGAGCCAGCAGGTGGCAGCATTTCTCTCTGAATGGTTTGAAAACAGTTAGGTGCACATGTGCCTCTTTTTTCTCAGCTTTCTGGTGATTTCAGTAAAACTTCCCTCTACTCGACGGAGGATTACAGGGGAACAAAACAAGCTAGAAACAAAATTCTTTTTGCTGAGGAAAGTAGACAGTCCATTCTTTTAGAATCTGGTGTCGGATTTCAGATAGTCATAGTACACAATATTCTGTGGGTCTTTAAAAATCAGTAAAAACCATGAGAAACGGCTGGCAATATGGAAGTACCTGTTCTGAAATGGGCTGGCAGTCAATTTTGTTGTTATTTTCGGATCTGTTGGAGAGTGTATATTTTGTAAAGTTGTGATTTAGGGTTTTTACAAAAACATATTGAATGGAAAGCGTGTAACCACATGTAACCGACCACATAAGTAATTATAATTATTACATATTATTTTGTGATACTGTTCCACTGTGTGAGGGACCAGAGGGACCCCTGAGTCTGTGCGGGTGAGTGAGGGACCAGAGGGACCCCTGAGTCTGTGCGGGTGAGTGAGGGACCAGTAGGGACCCCTGAGTCTGTGCGGGTGAGTGAGGGACCAGAGGGACCCCTGAGTCTGTGCGGGTGAGTGAGGGACCAGAGGGACCCCTGAGTCTGTGAGTGAGGGACCAGAGGGACCCCTGAGTCTGTGCGGGTGAGTGAGGGACCAGAGGGACCCCTGAGTCTGTGAGGGACAGAGGACCTCTGTCTGGTCTCTGTGGTCCTCAGTCTTGTTGTTGAACTCCTCCTCTTCCTCAGCCTGTGACTGTGACCCGGCTGGCTCCCTGGATGGGGGTCTCTGTGACCCCAACACGGACCCGTCCTTGGGGCAGGTGGCAGGACAGTGTCGCTGTAAAGCAAACGTGGAGGGAGCGCGCTGCGACCGCTGTAAGAGCGGCTTCCACGGGCTGAGCGCCGACGACCCGCATGGGTGCCAGCGTGAGTACTGCAGGAGGACACTACCTCTGTATATACTGTATATATACTGTACATATATACATAAATATACTGTACATATATATACATATAAATCAATGTTTGTGATAGTAAAGTGTGTTGCTCTGCAGCGTGTCGGTGTGATCCCCGCGGCAGTGTCCCGGGGCGAGCTCAGTGCGACCCTCTCACAGGAGACTGTGTTTGCAAACGTCTGGTGACAGGAAGCAGCTGCAACCAGTGTCTGGTCAGTCCCTGTTTAATATTAATAATAATAATACTAATAATATTAATAATAATAACAATAATAATAATAATATACACTTTTTTTATACACTCAAAGACGCTTCACAGATCATTATCCATTCACTCCAAACACAGTGGTGATAAACTACTGTGGCCACAGCTGCCATTCACACACACCCCAGACTCATTCTGGGCAATGTGGGTGAAGTGTCTTGCCTAAGGACACAACGACAGCAGAGAGTTAGAGCCGGTGGAGAAAGTCTTGAGGTGGGCTCGAACCCACGACCTTCAGACTCTGTCGCCTCGACAGTAGCAGTTTAAATGTATACTTAAAGCTCAGGTCTGTAACTTTAGTCTCGTCAACACATTCACACAGAGATGTTGCAACAGTAAAACAATAAAGTTAATATCGGATTGTCGTTTAGTTTACACCATAGATCACTTCTGCGGTCTATGGGCAGTTTGAAAATGGCCGCGGGGGCTGGAAAATGTGAAAAAACACATCTGTGAATGTGTCAGCTGCACGAGCTCCATTCATTTAACGAGTGCATTCTAAAGTCCACAGCGACTAAACCAGACTGGTCCAGAACACCCCCCTCAGCATTGACACACATGTGGAACTGAGCTTTGGGCCAAGAGCCACTTTTGGACCATCCTGTAAAGACGTTTTGGAGAGGAAAGAAGACTATGGTTTGGGCCTAACTTTAGTCTTAAAGCTGAGGTCTGTAACTTCAGCCTCTCATATATAACATGTAGTTTGGACACACTCATCTGTGTTCATCTCATTAGAGCCCTGTGAGTCATTATCTGCCTCTTTGGGCTGAGAGCTGATTGGCCGAGAGCAACTGTTTTGGAGCCAGAACTAGAGACAGAGTTCTATTGGTCTGAAAGTTACAGACCTTAGCTTTAAATTTACAGACCCAAGCTTTAAAGTGAGTCCATGCAGAAGACATGGCTTTCTGTGCTCGTTGACACAGAAAGCCTATTTTTACAGTTCAGCTGGTTCTCCCTCAGACAGCAGGCGCTTCTGTCTATATCTGGAGCTTCCTGTCAGGATCAGTCCATATTTGGACTTCCTCTGGTTCAGTCTATCTATAGAGCAGCAGCTGCAGGAGGCTCGACTGGCCCGGCCTGGGTCTAAACCGGCCTGGGTCTGGACCGCCCTGGGTCTGGACCGGCCTCGGCCTGGACCGGCCTCGGCCTGGACCGGCCTGGGTCTGGACCTGCCTGGGTCTGGACCGGCCTGGGTCTGTCTGGACCGGCGTGGGTCTGGACTGGTCTGGGACTGGACTCAGAAACATGAAAACATTTCTGTGTGCGTGTGTGTGTGTTTTTGTGTTTCTGTGTGTGTGTGTGTGTGTGTTTTTGTGTTTCTGTGTGTGTGTGTGTGTGTGTGTATTTCTGCGTGCGTGTGTGTCTGTGTGTGTGTGTTTCTGTGTCTTTGTGTGAGTGTGTTTCTGTGTCTTTGTGTGTGTCTGTGTGTGTGTGTGTCTTTGTGTGTGTGTGTGTGTGTTTGTGTGTCTTTGTGTGTGTCTGTGTTTGTGTGTCTTTGTGTGTGTGTGTGTGTTTCTTACTCTGTTGTGTGTTGCAGCCTGAGCACTGGGCGCTGAGCCATGACCTGAGCGGCTGCAGAGGCTGTGACTGCGATGTGGGCGGAGCTCTGGACAACATGTGAGTGATGTCACACAGCAGAGAGAGACCATGCAGTGCTCCCCTGATGCACCAGGGGGCGCTAGAGCAGCAGAACAACAGCACAGTCACACACAGTACAGGATGAAGGGATGTTCTGCTCAGAGGCCGTCATCCTGGTCGTCTCATACTCCACAAACCTGTGTCGAGTCCGTGAAGAGTCCGCTCTGTCTTTAACAAGGAACTGAAAAATGAGAAATGTCCACAAAAGATTCTTGAACAATAACAATTATATTTATCTTACAAACAAAAAAGGTGTTAGAGAGAGAGTGTAAGAGAGAGAGTGATAGAGATAGAGAGAGAGAGTGAGAGAGAGAGTAAGATAGAGAGAGAGAGTGAAAGAGAAAGATAGAGATAAAGAGAGAGAGAGAGTGAGAGAGAAAGATAGAGATAAAGAGAGAGAGAGAGAGAATGAGAGAGAGAGAGCGTTAGAGATAAAGAGAGAGGGATAGAAAGAGAGAATGAGAGACAAAATTAGAGAGTGAGAGAATGAGAAAGAGAGAGTGACAGAGATTATGAGGGAGAGTGAGATAACAAGAGAGAGTAAGAAGAGAGAATAAAAGAGAGTGAGAGAGAGAATGAGAGAGAGTGAAAGAGATGGTGAGAGAGAGATGTAGTCTTTACCCAGTGCGTCCACTAGATGGAGACATGTCCACGCTGCTGCAGCTCAAAGGTCCCTCCCACACTGTGATTGACAGGTGCTCCATGGACAGTGGGCAGTGTTCCTGTCGCAGTCACATGACCTCCCGTCAGTGTTCTCAGGTCCAGTCCGGATTCTTCTTCGCGGCTTTGGACCATCTGCTGTACGAGGCCGAGAGCGCCACGCTGGGACAGGTACACACACACACACACATAGACACATATACACACACACATACACATATGCACACATATCCCCGGCTCGGCTACGTTCTGACCAATCAGAGGGCAGTGTTTTGACCAATCAGAGCTGCGGATCAGAGCGGAGCCATAGCAGAGTTTGTTTCACTAAAGTGCGGATTAAAAGAAAACTCAAGGATTTAAGAAGAACAAAAGTTCAGGACGACAATGGACACTAAAACGTTTTATGAAATCTGTAGGTTCTCTGTAGGTTCTCTGTCAGGTTCTCTGTCAGGTTCTCTGTCAGGTTCTCTGTAGGTTCTCTGTCAGGTTCTCTGTCAGGTTCTCTGTAGGTTCTCTGTCAGGTTCTCTGTCAGGTTCTCTGTCAGGTTCTCTGTAGGTTCTCTGTCAGGTTCTCTGTCAGGTTCTCTGTAGGTTCTCTGTAGGTTCTCTGTAGGTTCTCTGTCAGGTTCTCTGTCAGGTTCTCTGTCAGGTTCTCTGTAGATTCTCTGTAGATTCTCTGTCAGGTTCTCTGTAGGTTCTCTGTCAGGTTCTCTGTAGGTTCTCTGTCAGGTTCTCTGTCAGGTTCTCTGTAGGTTCTCTGTAGGTTCTCTGTAGGTTCTCTGTCAGGTTCTCTGTAGGTTCTCTGTAGGTTCTCTGTCAGGTTCTCTGTAGGTTCTCTGTAGGTTCTCTGTCAGGTTCTCTGTCAGGTTCTCTGTAGGTTCTCTGTAGGTTCTCTGTCAGGTTCTCTGTCAGGTTCTCTGTAGGTTCTCTGTCAGGTTCTCTGTAGGTTCTCTGTAGGTTCTCTGTCAGGTTCTCTGTAGGTTCTCTGTAGGTTCTCTGTCAGGTTCTCTGTAGGTTCTCTGTCAGGTTCTCTGTAGGTTCTCTGTCAGGTTCTCTGTCAGGTTCTCTGTCAGGTTCTCATTCAGGTTCTCTGTCAGGTTCTCTGTAGGTTCTCTGTCAGGTTCTCTGTAGGTTCTCTGTCAGGTTCTCTGTAGGTTCTCTGTCAGGTTCTCTGTCAGGTTCTCTGTAGGTTCTCTGTCAGGTTCTCATTCAGGTTCTCTGTCAGCTGAGGTTGAGCTGTTTTTCTTTACATTGAGTTCTATGGGTCATCTTTCTGTGCGATGTGAATTTGGTCAGCAGCGCCCCCGGTGGACGTTGGTGGGACAGCTATAAGCTGTAATACTCTATCCAGATTTATTATAGATCGATGGGTGCATCTAGCTGCGTTTCCATTGAGCATCAAATTTCGAAATTTGAATTTGCGCATCATAAAATGTCTAATGGAAACGCGCAAATTTCGAATAAACCACAGTTTTTCGATAAAAAGTTAATGCGCTTAAAATAGGTGGTTTTTTTGGACGTATCGAAATTAAGTTTTTCGCAAAACGGCAATGGAAACACTTATTTCGATATAGCGGAGGAAGCCGAGCTGAGCTTTATTCAGTGAGTTTTGGCTGCGCTTCGTGTGGAGAGACTTGGGAGATACGTGGGAGAGGCATGGGGGAGAGACGGGGGAGAGACGGGGAGAGACGGGGAAGAGACGGGGGAGAGGCATGGGGGAGAGACGGGGAGAGACGGGGGAGAGGCATGGGGGAGAGACGGGGAGAGACGGGGGAGAGGCATGGGGGAGAGACGGGGAGATACGTGGGAGAGGCATGGGGGAGAGACGGGGGAGAGACGGAGGAGAGGCATGGGGGAGAGACGGGGAGAGACGGGGGAGAGGCATGGGGGAGAGACGGGGAGATACGTGGGAGAGGCATGGGGGAGAGACGGAGGAGAGGCATCATGGGGGAGAGACGGGGGAGAGATGGGGGAGAGGCATGGGGGAGAGACGGGGAGAGGCATGGGGGAGATACGTGGGAGAGGCATGGGGGAGAGACGGAGGAGAGGCATCATGGGGGAGAGACGGGGGAGAGACGGGGGAGAGGCATGGGGGAGAGACGGGGGAGAGGCATGGGGGAGAGACGGGGGAGAGACGGGGGAGAGGCATGGGGGAGAGACGGGGGAGAGACGGGGGAGACAGGCAAGACCCGTGTCTATGGTTCTGTGCGCGCGTCTATGGTCCGCGCTCGGTACATGAACACGCGCGTTCGCGGAGCTGTCAAAGCAGCCAGAGTTTCTCCCGGGGTCAGAGGTCAGAGAGGATGAGAGCCGCAGCAGAAGTCAAGACATTAATATATCTCACGTAAATCAAAGTGTTGTTTACTTCTGTTGCCATGTTGACGTACTAGAAACTAGTGAATAAACGCGCGAAAATAGTGTATACTTATTCGAATATGTCTTAATGGAAACGGCCGCTTTTGCGAATTACAGGTTCTTCGAATTTTGAAATGTATCGAAAAAGTTTTTGCGCATTATTCAATGGAAACGCAGCATAGATCCTCTGTGGAGGATAACCAGGACCTCCTCTCCCTCTTCCAGGGCAGCTCTGTGGAGGTGCGGGAGCACTCCCCTGGTCGCCCCGCCTCTTGGACGGGGGTGGGGTTTGCCCGCGTGCCGGTGAGCAGCACACTGGAGTTCAGCATCAACAACATCCCCTTCTCCATGGAGTACGAGCTGCTGCTGCGCTACGAGTCCCAGGTGAGAGCTCTCTACTGCTCCCTCTGGCCACTCACTGTCACTGCACTACTGCTCCCTCTGGTCACTCACTGTCACTGCACTACTGCCCCCTCTGGTCACTCCCTGTCACTGCACTACTGCCCCCTCTGGTCACTCACTGTCACTGCACTACTGCCCCCTCTGGTCACTCCCTGTCACTGCACTACTGCCCCCTCTGGTCACTCACTGTCACTGCACTACTGCTCCCTCTGGTCACTCACTGTCACTGCACTACTGCCCCCTCTGGTCACTCACTGTCACTGCACTACTGCCCCCTCTGGTCACTCACTGTCACTGCACTACTGCCCCCTCTGGCCACTTACTGTCACTGCACTACTGCCCCCTCTGGCCACTCACTGTCACTGCACTACTGCCCCCTCTGGCCACTCACTGTGACTGCACTACTGCCCCCTCTGGCCACTTACTGTCACTGCACTACTGCCCCCTCTGGCCACTCACTGTCACTGCACTACTGCCCCCTCTGGCCACTCACTGTCACTGCACTACTGCCCCCTCTGGTCACTCACTGTCACTGCACTACTGCTCCCCCTGGTCACTCACTGTCACTGCACTACTGCTCCCTCTGGTCATATATGGTCCTGTTCTGGTCCTGGTCTCTGTCTGGTCCCTCCCTGGGTCATTTACATGGTCCTAGTCCCTCTCTGGTTCCTACACATAGTCCTGGTCCCTCTCTGGTTCCTCCACATGGTCCTGGTCCCTCTCTGGTTCCTCCACATCAGGGGTGCTCACACTTTTTCAGCATGCGAGCTACTTATAAAAGGATCAAGTCAAAATGATCTACCTACTACAAAAATGCAAATCATATATTTATTTCAAAAAATATTCTGTATACCTACAATGTATGTTTATGTACATGCAAAACTGCATGAGCCAATATAGCACAACACAACACAATTACCTATGTACATTTTTTGTCATTACCCGAGTTTACTCTGATGACTTGCACTGAATTGAATCGGCCAGGGAGGCATAGTCCGGAAAATTGGTGGTAACTCCGCTGACAAGTTTGTCGTTGTTGAGCTTTCCTGCACTGAGCGCGGTTGTTTGCGCATGTGCAGTCACCTAAGTGTCAGTAAAACATTACTGAGTAAAACACAGATGTCATTTGACTGTGGTGCCATGTCCATGTGCCATGCCTATTTTTTTTAAATCCAAATATTTCCCCTCCTCAGTTTATAAAATAATTTGCATCCACACATCTGCGTTATCAATCACGTTCGTAACATTCCAAACATGTGCGTGTCTTACGTCCTGTCCTGCGTTGGGGAAAAACACAGAAGTGGGCGGAGCTTTGATGCAGACGCCGGTAACGGCACTTTTACAGTCATAGAAGACACTCAGAGTAAAGACGTATGTTTACAAGCACTGACCCCGTCCTCAGCCCTGGTTTAGTCCTGGTTTAGTCCTGGTTTGGTTGTTTTCGAGCGTGAGTCCGATCACTTTGCTGCTCTCTGATGTGGAGGATGTTTGCTGCTGCGAGCATCTCACAGCGGACAATTTTTAAGGTAGTATGATCCATGCTTGAGTGATCAGAGGAATTTAGGGGGGTACTGTGGCGTGCGAGAACGCAAAACTCCGGTTATCTCTGTCTACACACAAATGCATTAACGGAGTTTTCAAAAATCTCCACTTTGCCCGGAGTTTTTTGTATATATTTGTTTAGAATGTGTAATTTTTTCATTTATTTAATGCGATCTACCAATACTACCTTTGCGATCGACTGGTAGATCGCGATCGACGTATTGAGCACCCCTGCTCCACATGGTCCTGGTCCCTCTCTGGTTCCTCCACATAGTCCTGGTCCCTCTCTGGTACCTCCACATGGTCCTTGTCTGCAGATGCCCCGTGACTGGGAGGAGGTGCGTGTGACTGTGGTTCGTCCTGGATCCATCCCGACCTCGTCTCCCTGTGGGAACACCATCCCAGACGACGACAGACTCCTGCTGTCTCTGCCGGCGACCGCAAGGTGAAGCACCCACCTCACCACAACGATGTCGTCACACACACCTCACCACAACAAGGTCCTCACACCTCACCACAACGATGTCGTCACACACACCTCACCACACAGGGTCCTCACACACACCTCACCACAACAGGGTCCTCACACCTCACCACAACAAGGTCCTCACACCTCACCACAACGATGTCGTCACACACACCTCACCACAACAAGGTCCTCACACACACCTCACCACAACAGGGTCCTCACACCTCACCACAACAAGGTCCTCACACCTCACCACAGCAAGGTCCTCACACACACCTCACCACAACAAGGTCCTCACACCTCACCTCAACAGGGTCCTTACACACACACACACACACAAGGATTCTGCAGAATGACAGCAGAACGAGCCGTGGAGCTGTGTTCGGGTGAATGAAGCTCTGACCTCAGAGTTTGGGCTGTTGCATGTTCTGCTCTTTCCTTTAGAAAGTTGTGTTTGAGGAAAATATGTCAACTGTGTAGTCTATTATAATGTTATGTTTTATGTGTGTGTGCGTCTCTGTGTGTGTGTGTGTGTGTTTGCGTGTCTGTATGTGTGTGTCTTATGTGACTCTGTGTGTGACTCTGTGTGTGTGTGTGTTTGCGTGTGTGTATGTGTGTGTTTCAGGTTCATGGTTCCTCTGAGGACTCTGTGTTTGGAGAGAGGCGTCTCGTACACACTCCGACTGGAATTCAGACGATACCAGGACTTCAACAGTGTCCAGGACGGATCCGGGCATTTCATCCTGATGGACTCTGTGAGACACACACACACACACTACCACACACAGACACACACACGCACACATACAGAGAATCACCCTGAATCTTCTCCTCCTCCCGCAGTTGGCCCTGATGCCCCGCCACTCGTCCCTGGACATGTTCAGTGCTGGAGACTCTAGCGCCCTCTTGAGGAAGCAGACGTACGAGCGCTACCGCTGCCACGACACGGCACGCGCTGTGGTGAGGCCCGTCATGAGCGAGGCCTGTGCCAAACTCATCTCCAGCATGTCAGCCCTCATCCACCAGGGGGCGCTGGGTAAGACCACAGAGACCAGAGAGACCAGGGAGACCAGAGAGACCAGGGAGACCAGAGAGACCAGAGAGACCAGAGAGACCAGGGAGACCAGAGAGACCAGAGAGACCAGGGAGACCAGGGAGACCAGGGAGACCAGGGAGACCAGAGAGACCAGAGAGACCAGAGAGACCAGAGAGACTAGAGAGACCGGCGAGACCAGAGAGACCAGAGAGAGACCAGAGAGACCAGAGAGACCAGGGAGACCAGAGAGACCAGGACCAGAGACCAAAGAGAAACCAGGACCACAGATCAAGGAGAGACCAGGACCTAAGTCTTGGACCAGAGACCAAAGATCAGAGACGAGAGCTCTCCTCCTCTGTCTCTCTCTCCCCTTTTTCCTCTCTCCTCACACCTCTTTCCTCTCTCCTCTCTCCTCCCTCCTCACACCTCTCTCCTCTCTCCTCCCTCCTCACACCTCTCTCCTCTCTCCACTCTCCTCACACCTCTCTCCTCTCTCCTCTCTCCTCTCTCCTCTCTCCTCACACCTCTCTCCTCTCTCCTCACACCTCTCTCCTCTCTCCTCCCTCCTCACACCTCTCTCCTCTCTCCTCCCTCCTCACACCTCTCTCCTCTCTCCTCTCTCCTCTCTCCTCACACCTCTCTCCTCTCTCCTCTCTCCTCTCTCCACTCTCCTCTCTCCTCTCTCCTCTCTCCTCTCTCCACTCTCCACTCTCCTCTCTCCTCTCTCCCTCTCCTCTCTCCTCTCTCCTCTCTCCTCTCTCCTCTCCTCTCTCACTCTCTCTCTCTCCTCTCTCCTCTCTCCTCTCTCCACTCTCCTCTCTCCTCTCTCCACTCTCCTCTCTCCTCTCTCCTCTCTCCTCTCTCCTCACACCTCTCTCCTCTCTCCTCTCTCCTCTCTCCTCACACCTCTCTCCTCTCTCTCCTCCCTCCTCACACCTCTCTCCTCTCTCCTCCCTCCTCACACCTCTCTCCTCACACCTCTCTCCACTCTCCTCTCTCCTCCCTCCTCACACCTCTCTCCTCTCTCCTCCCTCCTCACACCTCTCTCCTCACACCTCTCTCCACTCTCCTCTCTCCTCTCTCCTCCCTCCTCACACCTCTCTCCTCTCTCCTCTCTCCTCACACCTCTCTCCTCTCTCCTCTCTCCTCACACCTCTCTCCACTCTCCTCACACCTCCCTCCTCTCTCCTCCCTCCTCTCTCTCCTCCTGCAGAGTGCCAGTGTGACCCCCAGGGGGCGCTCAGCTCAGTGTGTGATGTGCGTGGTGGCCAGTGTCACTGCAGACAGAATGTGATTGGTCGACGATGCGACCAGTGCGCTCCAGGAACCTATGGCTTCGGCCCCAGCGGCTGCTCGGGTGAGAGACACACTGTGGCCATTAAAGCTCAGGTCCGTAACTTTCAGCCCACATCAATAGAACTCTGATAAAACCTGTTACAATCACTCTCCATGCTTCTCTATCCTAACCACAAAAGTTACAGACCTGAGCTTTAAACATGTGTTATTGATGAGGCTAAAGTTACAGACCTGAGCTTTAAACAACTGTTATTGAGACTAAAGTTACAGACCTGAGCTTTAAACATGTGTTATTGATGAGACTAAAGTTACAGACCTGAGCTTTAAACATGTGTTATTGATGAGACTAAAGTTACAGACCTGAGCTTTAAACATGTGTTATTGATGAGACTAAAGTTACAGACCTGAGCTTTAACCATGTGTTATTGATGAGACTAAAGTTACAGACCTGAGCTTTAAACATGTGTTATTGATGAGACTAAAGTTACAGACCTGAGCTTTAAACATGTGTTATTGATGAGACTAAAGTTACAGACCTGAGCTTTAACCATGTGTTATTGAGACTAAAGTTACAGACCTGAGCTTTAAACATGTGTTATTGATGAGACTAAAGTTACAGACCTGAGCTTTAAACATGTGTTATTGATGAGACTAAAGTTACAGACCTGAGCTTTAAACATGTGTTATTGATGAGACTAAAGTTACAGACCTGAGCTTTAAACATGTGTTATTGATGAGACTAAAGTTACAGACCTGAGCTTTAAACATGTGTTATTGATGAGACTAAAGTTACAGACCTGAGCTTTAACCATGTGTTATTGAGACTAAAGTTACAGACCTGAGCTTTAAACATGTGTTATTTAGACTAAAGTTACAGACCTGAGCTTTAAACATGTGTTATTGATGAGACTAAAGTTACAGACCTGAGCTTTAAACATGTGTTATTGATGAGACTAAAGTTACAGACCTGAGCTTTAAACATGTGTTATTGATGAGACTAAAGTTACAGACCTGAGCTTTAACCATGTGTTATTGATGAGACTAAAGTTACAGACCTGAGCTTTAAACATGTGTTATTGAGACTAAAGTTACAGACCTGAGCTTTAAACATGTGTTATTGAGACTAAAGTTACAGACCTGAGCTTTAAACATGTGTTATTGATGAGACTAAAGTTACAGACCTGAGCTTTAAACATGTGTTATTGATGAGACTAAAGTTACAGACCTGAGCTTTAAACATGTGTTATTGATGAGACTAAAGTTACAGACCTGAGCTTTAAACATGTGTTATTGATGAGACTAAAGTTACAGACCTGAGCTTTAAACATGTGTTATTGATGAGACTAAAGTTACAGACCTGAGCTTTAAACATGTGTTATTGATGAGACTAAAGTTACAGACCTGAGCTTTAAACATGTGTTATTCCCCTCTCAGCGTGTGGCTGCAGTCCCAGTGGGTCTCTCTCTCCTCTCTGTGACCCGTTGACCGGTCGCTGCCCGTGTCGTCTTGGGGCGTTCGGGCAGCGTTGTGACCGTTGCCATGGCGCTCACTGGGGATTCCCCGACTGCAAACCCTGCCTCTGCAACGGACACACAGAGGAGTGTCACCACACCACCGGGACCTGCCAGAACTGCAGAGGCAACACTGGGGGAGAGCGATGTGAGAGGTGACCACCCAGGACTGAGGCTGTAGATCCAGGACTGAGGCTGTGGATCCAGGACTGAGGCTGTAGACCCAGGACTGAGGTTGTAGACCCAGGACTGAGGCAGTAGACCCAGGACTGAGGTTGTAGATGCAGGACTGAGGCTGTGGATCCAGGACTGAGGCTGTGGATCCAGGACTGAGGCTGATGTCTCTGCAGATGTGCCACTGGTTTCTATGGTAACCCGGTCTTGGAGTTGGGGGGACAGTGTCGCCCGTGTCCCTGTCCCGAAGGACCCGCCAGCGGCCGCCATTTTGCCTCGTCCTGTTTCCAAGACGACCGCAGCAAACAAATCACCTGCAACTGTAAACAAGGCTACACAGGTGAGAGTTACAAACCTCAGCTTCAACACGCCCTCAGGTCGTCTGTAGTTGCATAATCCTCAGCTTTTACCCCAGCCTTCTCTCCCTCTGTAGTCCCATACCTCAGCTTTAACCTCAGCTCTCTCGCCCTCCCCCTCAGGTCCACGCTGTGACCAGTGTGCCCCCGGTCACCATGGTAACCCCTCTTTGCCGGGCGGTCGCTGTGCTCCGTGTGAGTGCCACAATAACATCGACATGTCCGACCCGGGGTCATGTGACCGCGCCACCGGCCTCTGTCTGAAGTGTCTCTACAACACCGAGGGCCGCGGCTGCGGGGAGTGCGCCCGCGGTTACCACGGCGACGCATCACGCCGCAACTGCCGCAGTGAGTGACTCCCACCCACAACCACAGATGCTCCCTCTGGTGGAGGAAGTGAGAACCACTAGCATTGGGCTAGCACCTTAGCATTGAGCTATCAGTTTAGCCTTGTGCTAGCAGGTTCGCTGTGTCATCAGCAGTGATGGGAATAACGGCGTTACTAACGCCGTTACTTTTTTCAGTAACGAGTAATCTAACTAATTACTTTGACAGTAACTATAACGCCGTTATCATTTCCGACATCCCGTTACTGCGCGTTACTCAAGACGCACAATGAACGTGTTGTCATGAGAGAAGGGAGGATGAGAAAACCTCTCAGCAATTATTGGCTGATGTAAATCATATTTCCTTTACAATCTACATGTCTACAGTTGAGAGGATGGCTCATAAATTGTGTTTTTGAAACAAATATGGGTCTTAATCGCGCTCAACCACGGCTTGTATCACCGTGAGGTCAGCCACAGAGGAGCGCATGTGAGCGCAGAAGGCTGCATACAATTCCATCGATAAGCTCCTTGCTCTTCCTGGTTTATCTGCTAAGGACAGCAACAGGTTTGGCTAACATACATATAACACATTTTTACATAATCTAAAATGCACATAGGGTAATTTTTCAATTACTATAGGAATGATAAGAAAGAGAGGTGAAGTGTAAGACGGTTGGTTTTAGAAATTGGATGCAGCCGGCTGCAGCAAAACAGAGGAGTTTACGGAGGACACACGCGTTTTGTTTTACTTTTTAAAACTCATTGGACTCATTTCCAAATGGAGGATTACATATCTACGCTCAAAACATTCACTGGATTTAAACAAGGAACTGGTCTGAACCGAAGTGGACTGTGCAGGTCATTTATAAGGTATAGCTATAAGGTAAGACCCATAACTCATAGTTTTGCGTTTTGTATGAACAAACAATGCGGGCATAAAACATATTTTGCTGTAGCCAAACAAATTGTCCACTTGATTTATATGATGTATATGTTCATCTGATTGGACTGAAGTCAGTGCTTCACCAGCCTCACCGCTCGTCACCGGTGTTTCCACATTCACAGTGGCGGGCTTTACAGCACAGACAGAGATGAAGAGTGAACAGGACTTCAGCAGCAAAACAGACTTTTCTAGATGGAAATATTGGCACTGTTAAAGGTAAAAATGCGCACGTCGGGTGCACATTATGTTCCAGAACAAAACGAAAAAGTAACGCAATAGTTACTTTTACTGGTAACTAGTTACTTTTATAGTGGAGTAACTCCGTTAGTAACTCAGTTACTTTTTGGGAGAAGTAACTAGTAACTATAACTAATTACTTTTTCAAAGTAACGTGCCCAACACTGGTCATCAGACTCTGTTCTCCTCAGAGTGCAGCTGTAACGTACTGGGCACAGACAGCGCCTCCTGTGGCGTCTCTGGAGACTGCGGCTGTGATCGCTCCAGTGGTCAGTGTCTCTGTCGTCCTAACGTCCTGGGTTTGTCATGTGACCACTGTGCGCCCAATCACTGGAACCTGATGAGTGGGCGGGGCTGTGCACCATGTGACTGCGACCCAAGCAACGCCTACAGCGCGGCCTGCAACGAGGTGAGAGCTAACAGGCTAACTGACTAATGAGGTGTGGAGCTAACAGGCTAATATGCCACTGGGGTGAGGAGCTAACGAGCTAACATACCACTGAGGTGAGGAGCTAACAGGCTAACATGCTAATGACCCCTGACCTCTCAGTTCACAGGTCAGTGCCAGTGCCGCAGTGGTTTTGGGGGAAAGACGTGCACAGACTGTCAGGAGAACTACTGGGGCGACCCAAGGACACAGTGCAGAGGTGAGGCCCGCCTTTCTCCTGTCTTTGTCGACTCCCCATCAGCTCTGACCCTGCTGAAGAAAAGCAGCCCTGACACTAGACTGAGTCCTTCTTCTCATGTAAATGTTCTGTGTGTCCAGCCTGTGACTGTGAGTGGCAGGGCATCAGCGGTTCTCAGTGTGACCGTCGGACCGGTCACTGTGCGTGTCGACCCGGAGTGTCAGGGGTCAGGTGTGACCAGTGCGCTCGAGGGTTCTCCGGAGTCTTCCCCAACTGTGAACCCTGTCACCAGTGCTTTGGAGACTGGGACCGCATCGTACAGGTGAGAACTCTCTCTGGTCTCTCTCACTGGTCTCTCTCTCTGGTCTCTCCTTGATCTCTCTCTGGTCTCTTTCTGATCTCTTTTGCTCTCTGGTCTCTCTCTCAGGTATCTCTCTGGTCTCTCTGGTCTCTCTGGTCTCTCTCTGGTCTCTCCCTTTCTCTGGTCTCTCTCTGGTCTCTCTCTGGTCTCTCCCTTTCTCTGGTCTCTCTCTGGTCTCTCTCTGGTCTCTCTCTGGTCCCATCCTCTCTGGTGTCTCCAGGACCTTGCGGTGAGGACCAAAGCTCTCTCCTCTCGCGCCCATGAGCTGCAGACCACAGGTCTCACTGGTCCATATGAGAGGTTCTTCAAAGGTCTGGAGGAGAAACTCAACCTGGCAACAAGCATCGTCCAAGCACGAAACCAAACCAGCGCCGCCGTCACTCTACTCATGGAGCTCATCGAGGAGCTGAGGTCAGAACTCTCTCTGGTCTCTTTTTGGGCTCTCTATAGCCTCACTCTGGTCTCGCTCTTTCTGGTCTCGCTCTTTCCTCTCTCTGGTCTCTCTGTGGTCTCTCTCTAGTCTCTCTGGTCTCTCTCTGGTCCCTCTCTGGTCTCTCTCTGGTCTCTCTCTCGCCTCTCTCTGGTCTCTCTCTGGTCCTTCTCTGGTCTCTCTCTGGTCTCTCTCTGGTCTCTTTCAGGTCTCGTTCTTTCCTCCCTCTGGTCTCTCTCTGGTCTCTCTCTGGTCTCTCTCTGGTCTCTCTGTGGTCTCTCTCTGGTTTCTCTCTTGCCTCTCTCTGGTCTCTCTCTGGTCTCTCTCTGGTCTCTCTGTGGTCTCTCTCTGGTCTCTCTGTGGTCTCTCTGTGGTCTCTCTCTGGTTTCTCTCTTGCCTCTCTGTGGTCTCTCTCTGGTTTCTCTCTTGCCTCTCTCTGGTCTCTCTCTAAGTATAACTGTGTTATAGGACTCAGATCAGCGACACCACTGATTGGCTGAGCCGTGTGGAGGCGGAGCTTACGGTTGTCCAGGATACGAACACTGAGGCGAGCAGCGACCTGAGCGCGTTGGAGCGAGAGGCACGAGAACTCAATGTGACATCACAGAGTCTGCACAAGCAGCTGGACCTACTCAAGAACTCCAACTTCCTGGGTACAAAGCCACGCCCACTGAGGCCACGCCCACAGAGACCACGCTCACTGAGACCGCAAAGGGACCGCACAGGGACCACACAGGGACCGCACAGGGACCACACAGGGACCACTCAGAGACCACACAGAGACCACACAGAGACCACACAGAGACCACACAGAGACCACACAGAGACCACACAGAGACCACACAGGGACCACACAGAGACCACACAGAGACCACACAGGGACCACACAGAGACCACACAGGGACCACACAGGGACCACACAGAGACCACACAGAGACCACTCAGAGACCACACAGAGACCACACAGAGACCACACAGGGACCACACAGAGACCACACAGGGACCACACAGGGACCACACAGAGACCACACAGAGACCACACAGGGACCACACAGGGACCACACAGAGACCACACAGAGACCACACAGGGACCACACAGAGACCACACAGAGACCACACAGGGACCACACAGGGACCACACAGAGACCACACAGGGACCACACAGGGACCACACAGAGACCACACAGAGACCACACAGGGACCACACAGGGACCACACAGAGACCACTCAGAGACCACACAGAGACCACACAGGGACCACACAGGGACCACACAGAGACCACACAGAGACCACACAGGGACCACACAGGGACCACACAGAGACCACACAGAGACCACACAGGGACCACACAGGGACCACACAGAGACCACACAGAGACCACACAGGGACCACACAGGGACCACACAGAGACCACACAGAGACCACACAGAGACCACACAGGGACCACACAGGGACCACACAGAGACCACACAGAGACCACACAGGGACCACACAGAGACCACACAGAGACCACACAGAGACCACACAGGGACCACACAGGGACCACACAGGGACCACACAGAGACCACTCAGAGACCACACAGAGACCACTCAGAGACCACTCAGAGACCACACAGGGACCACACAGAGACCACACAGAGACCACACAGAGACCACACAGAGACCACTCAGGGACCACACAGAGACCACTCAGAGACCACACAGGGACCACACAGGGACCACACAGAGACCAGTCAGAGACCACACAGAGACCACACAGAGACCACACAGGGACCACACAGAGACCACACAGAGACCACACAGAGACCACACAGGGACCACACAGGGACCACACAGAGACCACTCAGAGACCACACAGAGACCACTCAGAGACCACACAGGGACCACACAGGGACCACACAGAGACCACTCAGAGACCACACAGGGACCACACAGAGACCACACAGAGACCACACAGGGACCACACAGAGACCACACAGAGACCACACAGGGACCACACAGGGACCACACAGAGACCACACAGAGACCACTCAGAGACCACACAGGGACCACACAGGGACCACACAGAGACCACTCAGAGACCACACAGGGACCACACAGAGACCACTCAGAGACCACTCAGAGACCACTCAGAGACCACACAGGGACCACACAGGGACCACACAGAGACCACACAGGGACCACACAGGGACCACACAGGGACCACACAGAGACCACACAGGGACCACACAGAGACCACACAGGGACCACACAGGGACCACACAGAGACCACACAGAGACCACACAGAGACCACACAGAGACCACACAGAGACCACACAGGAACCACACAGAGACCACACAGAGACCACACAGAGACCACACAGAGACCACTGCCACAGTTCTGTCTCTGATTCTCGCTGTGATCTCAGGGGCCTATGACAGCATCCGCGGCTCGTACCAAACGTCCAGAGACGCGGAGCGCCGCGCCAACGAGTCAACTGCCGCCACGACCAGCGGGACGTCCAGTGGGACGACCAGCGGGACGTCCAGTGCGGTCGCGGATTCCAAAGAAACACGGCGCAAAACTGAGCGTCTCATCGGGAACAAAAAGGACGAGTTTAACCGAAACAACGCTGCAAACAAACGAGCTCTGAGCAACCTGCGAGAGCGGACTCAAGGACTGGACCTGAAGAAGATCAACGAGAAGGTGCTTCGAGCTGTTTAGAGCTGTTTAGAGCTGTTCTAACTGTTTGTTTCCAGGTGTGCGGGGCCCCTGGAGATGCCCCCTGTGGTGAGGGCCCCTGTGGGGGGGCCGGCTGCAGAGATGATGAGGGCAGAGCGTTCTGTGGAGGCTTGAACTGTGAAGGAGCTGCAGCTGTGGCCGACAACGCTCTGGACCGAAGCCAACAGGCAGAAATACAGCTGCAGAGGGCCCTGGGGGACGTGGAGGGACTGTTCCAGCAGGTGAGTCAGGGGCCCCAACATTAGAGGGCCCCCAGCATCAGAGGGGCCCCAACATCACAAAGGGTTAGAGATAGTGTATACAGGTGTAACAGTCACAGTACAGGTTACACCTGTATACACAGGTGACCTCATGATGAGGCTCTGACCCTGTGACACCTGTACACACAGGTGCGTGAGGCCCAGGTGCGTGCGCAGGAGGCGCGGGGGGAGGCGCAGGAGGCGCTGGACAAAGCCTTTGCCACAAAACGAAACATGGAGCGAAACAACAACGAGCTGCGAGAACTGATCAAGGACATCAGGCTGTTCCTCACACGTGAGAATTACACACCTGAGCTTTAAAGTTAGACTTACACACCTGAGCTTTAAAGTTAGACTTACACACTTGAGCTTTAAAGTTAGACTTATACACCTGAGCTTTAAAGTTAGACTTACACACCAGAGCTTTAAAGTTAGACTTACACACCTGAGCTTTACCATCAGCCAATCAGAGCGCTGCTTGTGGCATGTGTGCAGAGGAGGGGGCGGAGCCTGACAACATCGAGGCCGTAGCCAATCGCGTGTTAGAGCTGTCGATTCCCGCCTCCACGCTGCAGATCCGACATCTCGCCGACGAGATCAAAGAGCGAGTGCGAAGTCTCTCCAACGTGGACGCCATCTTAGAACAGACTCAGGGAGACGTGCGGCGTGCGGAGGAACTCCTGCTGGACGCCAAGAGGGCCAGGTACAGAGGTCAGGGCTCAGGAGGTCAGGAAAGATCAAGAGGGCCTATGCTCCTCTCTCTCCTCCTCTCTCTCCTGCTCTCTCTCCTCCTCTCTCTCCTCCTCTCTCTCCTGCTCTCTCTCCTCCTCTCTCTCCTCCTCTCTCTCCTCCTCTCTCTCCTGCTCTCTCTCCTCCATCTTCCCTCCTCGTCTCCCTCTCCTCTCTCCTCCTCCCGCTCCTGTCTCCTCCTCTTTCTCTCCAATCTTTTCAGCTCCTCTCTCTCCTCTCTCCTCTTCTCTCTCTCCTCCTGTCCTCCTCCTCCTCACCTCCTCTTCCTGGCAGACATGATGCAGAGGGCACTAAGACCACTGCGGAGGCGGTGAAGAGAGCGTTGGCTGACGCCCACACGGCTCAGACGTCAGCGGAGAAGACCATCTCCAGAGCCCGGGCCGACATCCAGGAGACCGAGGGGAAGCTGACCCAGGTGAGCGACCCCAGGAGGAGACCGAGGTTAGAGACCCCAGGAGTAGACCCAAGTGAGAGACCCAGGTGAGAGACCCCGGGAGAAGACTGAGGTGAGAGACCCCGGGAGGAGACCGAGGTGAGAGACCCCAGGAGTAGACCCAAGTGAGAGACCCCAGGAAGAGACTGAGGGGGCGCTGACCCAGGTGAGAGACCCAAGGGAGAAAAACCAGGTGAAGCCCAAGGGGGAGACCCAGGTCAGACCAAAACCAAACTCCTGAGGCTACATTTAAATGTGGTCTCAGACAAAATACGTCTGGTCATCGTCAAAATGAGTCAAAAAGAGCTACAGTCAACCTGAAACAAGAACAGCCCTGACCTCTGTCAAGAATGAAGCAGACAGAGACGGATTGTGGGGCTCCAAAGCTCTGGAGTTTATTTAGGTTTCTCCCAGGTTCTAGTGGTTTCAGTTGTTTCAATTATTTTCATTGTTACGTCACACATCGAAAGACACACGTGTCACATTCTGAGACAGTCAGAGCAGATCATAGTCATAACATGGATACGAGTCCTTATGGAGTCTTACGTTTGTCCACCTGGTAGGCCATATAGCTATTTAATCCTCATACCTCTGACCTCTGACCTCTGCCCTCTGCCCTCTGTCCTCTGTCCTCTGACCTCTGCCCTCTGTCCTCTGCCCTCTGTCCTCTGCCCTCTTTCCTCTGCCCTCTGCCCTCTTTCCTCTGCCCTCTGCCCTCTTTCCTCTGCCCTCTGCCCTGTGTGTTCCAGATGGAGTCTGAGACCAGGGGCAGTGAGAGGGCCCTGACGGAGGCTGTGTCTCGACTCGATGCTTTGGGACGAGAGATCAACGACCTCAAAACTCAACGAGCCAAGAACAGTATGTCTGCGGCTCGGGCTGAGGAGACCGCCACCATGGCCCGGGACAAGGCCAGCGAGGCCCGGCAGGTGAGCCCCCTCTCCTCCCTCCCCTCTCCCCCCTCTCCTCCCTCAGATGCTGTATTCTCCTCATGGTCTCGGTCTCACGCAGATGCTTGAGGGCCAGCTCACTGATAAGTTCCACGAGGCTCAGCAGAGGGTGGACACGAAGGCCCGGTTGGTGCTGGAGGCCAAGGGACGAGCGGAGAAGCTGAGGCAGGAGGCCAAAGACCTGCTGAAGGACGCCCAGGGGAAGCTGAGGCGGCTGGCAGGTCTGAGACTCTACACACCCAGCAACAACTGTCTCTCTCTCATCTCTTGCTAGCCTCTCTCTCTGGTCTTTCTCTCTGGTCTCTCTCTGGTCTTTCTCTCTGGTCTCTCTCTGGTCTTTCTCTCTGGTCGTTCTCTCTGGTCTCTCTCTGGTCTCTCTCTGGACTCTCTCTGGACTCTCTCTAGTCTCTCTCTAGTCTCTCTAGTCTCTCTAGTCTCTCTCTGGTCTCTCTCTGGTCTCTCTCTGGTCTCTCTCTGGTCTCTCTCTAGTCTCTAGTCTCTCTCTGTCTGGTCTCTTTCTGGTCTTTCTTTCTGGTCTCTCTCTGGTCTCTCTCTAGTCTCTCTCTAGTCTCTCTCTAGTCTCTCTCTAGTCTCTCTCTAGTCTCTCTCTGGTCTCTCTCTGGTCTCTCTCTAGTCTCTCTCTGTCTGGTCTCTTTCTGGTCTCTCTTTCTGGTCTCTCTCTCTGGCCTCTCTCTGGTCTCTCCCTGGTCTCTCGCTGGTCTCTCTCTCTGGTCTCTCTTACTTCTCTCTGTGTCTTGTTCAGAGCTGGAGCAGAATTATGACCAGAACCAGAAGCAGCTGGAGGGTAAAGCTCGGCAGCTCGATGGTCTCGAAGACAAGATGAAGACCATTCTCCAGGACATCAACCGACAGATCCAGATCTACAACACGTGTCAGTGAGGCCCTGGTCCTGCAACACTGAGCAGCGAGAAGCTCAAGAAAACTGCTACTGCTACCCTACCCTACCCTACCCTACTCTACTCTACTCGACTCTACTCTACTCTACTCTACTCTACTCTACTCTACTCTACCCTACCCTACCCTACCCTACCGTACCCTACCATACTCTACTCTACCCTACCCTACTCTACCCTACCCTACCGTACCCTACCCTACCCTACTCTACCCTACCCTACTCTACTCTACCCTACCCTACCCTACTCTACCGTACCCTACCCTACCCTACTCTACCCTACTCTACCGTACCCTACCCTACCCTACTCTACTCTACTCTACTCTACCCTACCCTACCCTACTCTACCGTACCCTACCCTACTCTACCGTACCCTACCCTACCCTACTCTACTCTACCCTACCCTACTCTACTCTACTCTACTCTACTCTACCCTACCCTACCCTACTCTACTCTACCCCAGTCTACTCTACCTCCGTCTACTCTACTCTGCCCTACTCTTTTTTACTCTACTCTACTCTACTCTACTCTACCACTATGAAAACAACACTGAGTTTGAGAAATAACAGGTTATGTCCCAGGACTGAACCTTGAGGAACTCCACATTGGGTTCTCTGCTGTTAGCATCACAGACCTGACTCTGTGCTGCTCAGTGTTAGTTTAGCTTTAAACTGTTGCATGAAAATCAATCGTTTTGTATTTTGTGATTTTGATATTTATGCATGAAGTAAAAACACCAAAGATCTGATTTCACTGATTTCAGTGTGAATAAAAATAAAACTATAAACGTCTCCAGACTAATTCCTGAAATCAGCCTCGTTCACAGTCTCTGCTGTTTGTGTCACAAAGAGCCGCGTGAGCAAAGGGAAGCCACGTGAGCAAAGGGAAGCCGCGTGAGCAAAGGGAAGCCACGTGAGCAAAGGGAAGCCGCGTAAGCAAAGGGAAGCCGCGTGAGTAAATTGAAGCCGCGTGAGCAAAGGGAAGCCACGTGAGCAAAGGGAAGCCGCGTGAGCAAAGGGAAGCCACGTGAGCAAAGGGAAGCCGCGTAAGCAAAGGGAAGCCGCGTGAGTAAATTGAAGCCGCGTGAGCAAAGGGAAGCCGGGTGAGGAAAGGGAAGCCGCGTGAGCAAAGGGAAGCCGCGTGAGCAAAGGGGAGGCCGGGTGAGTAAATTGAAGCCGCGTGAGCAAAGGGAAGCCGGGTGAGGAAAGGGAAGCCGCGTGAGCAAAGGGAAGCCGCGTGAGCAAAGGGGAGGCCGGGTGAGCAAAGGGAAGCCGCGTGAGCAAAGGGGAGGCCGGGTGAGCAAAGGGAAGCCGCGTGAGCAAAGGGAAGCTGCGTGAGCAAAGGGAAGCCGCGTGAGCAAAGGGAAGCCGAGTGAGCAAATGGAAGCCGGGTGAGCAAAGGGAAGCCGCTTGAGCAAAGGGAAGCAGCGTGAGCAAGTTTTAGAATATAATCCTACATCTTTAATTCACCCGAGATGAGACCCTTTTTAATCAGAGTGCAAAGAAGCTAGTATATTTTGATAGTATAGTTTTATTTAAAGAACCTTTGAAACCTTACATTGGCCTTTGGTCCAGAAGGTCGTGGGTTCGAGCCCACCACAAGACCTACTTCATGACTCCCACTGATGACTGCTGTCGTTGTGTCCTTGGGCAAGACACTTAACCCCACTTTGCCTGAAGCCCCCTCTGAAAGATCAAGGCTCCTGTGGACTCACCACCTGCAGGAGGATCAGTGAAGGGCTGGTGCTCTGTGTACTGGGTGCTGCTCTGACTGCCACCCCCCCGACACAGAAATGGATTAAGGGGAAGAAAATGGATGGATGGATGAACACATAAAAAAGACATAATAAAATGACTTTTATGTTGTTACATTTGAGTTTGAGACCCCTGACCGAGTCTCATCAGAAGGATTGATCAAATGCAGAGACCCACTCCCTGACGGGGATCAGTCATTATATTGTATCTTTTAATTGAGTTAATGCAGTATAAATACATGACTGTGATGTATAGTAATGTTATGTCCTTTAACAATTTCCCTGGTTTGAGAACTTGTAAAAGAGTACCTTATTACTTTGTAACTTTATAAATGACTTGGACCAGCAACACAAACGATGTATAATATTTTTTGTGTGCACTCGCAACCTTGTGAACGCGCAGCTGGCAGAGCGCGCGCTCCCGACACACGTGCACGAGCTCTTCCCAGCAGCAGACCCAAAACACCGGATCTACAACAATAACCCAAAAATACCGAAGATCGCCTTTTTCCACTCACCAGCTGCCTCCGTGAACATGCCCACTCTGCTGCTGTCCTCCCCGTGTCCAGGGTGATTGTATCCCCGTGGAAGAGCACGTCAGGCCCGGATCGAGCAGCCAGAGCGGCCGGGAGGAGTGCTGCGGCCCGCGGACACACATCACCACACACACCGGTAACACTGCACTGTCCTGTCCGGGCTTTGTGCGCTGTCCCTCGGGCTCTGTCCTCTGAGCGTCCTCTCCGGGGTGTCCCAGGTGTGGACATGGACGTGTTTGAGTAGATGTCACCGCTTAGAATTATTTGAAGACATATTTATTTAGCACAACTGATGGTCTGTTGTTAGCATTAGCTGTTAGCATTGTGCTAGCAACGGCTGCATCAAATATCCACACAATATCATCAGAATACCTCGCTCATTAACCTTTTATATGCGTTTTCTTTTATTTTTAACGGGCAGGGTAGCTTCTAATTTTATTTAATATATTTTAAGATTTTTTTGAGGGATTCTAAGACTATTGACCAAGGTTAATAAACACGGAGAGGAAAGACGTTGCCGTACTTTCGGTTTGTAGCTCGTTAGCCTGTTAGCTTCGTTAGCTTCGTTATCTTCGTTAGCTTCGTTAGCTTCGTTAGCTTCGTTAGCTTCGTTAGCTTCGTTAGCTTCGTTATCTTCGTTAGCTTCGTTAGCTTCGTTAGCTTCGTTAGCTTCGTTAGCTTCGTTAGCTTCGTTAGCTTCGTTAGCTTCGTTAGCTTCGTTAGCTTCGTTAGCCTTGTTAGCTTTGTTAGCCTGTTAGCTTCGTTAGCCTTGTTAGCTTCGTTAGCCTGTTAGCTTCGTTAGCCTGTTAGCTTCGTTAGCCTTGTTAGCTTTGTTAGCCTGTTAGCTGGTTAATCCCTCAAACTCCCACACCACGTTACGGGGCAGCAGTCTTCCTTCCCTGGGTCCAAGTGTGCACTCAGCTGCGGGGTTTGGGCACATGTCCCCGCGTCATGTCTCTGTGGAAGTATTTTACCCACTGTGCGTCATAAGTGTTCGCACTAGTCACGTTAGCTAGCTCCTGTTTTTAGCTTCGGGGAGCAAACACAAGTGCATCTGTTTAAACTGTGTTAAAGGCGAATATGGGAGTTTGCGTTAGTTCTATATGTTTATTGTGTTTGTGTGTGTTGTGATGATGAGGGGTCGGTGAGTTTACAGTGTTTGTTCAGGAGCCGCTTCCTGCTCAGAGTTTCAGGTGTCAACAAACTGTGGGAAAAAAACTGGGACACATAATTAAAGCTGGTGTACGTGAGTTTCAGACCACAACAATAGAACGCTGATAAACCCGTGTCTCTAGTTCCTGTCGTTAAAGCAGTTCCTTCTAACACCCGATTTCACATCATGTATATCTGGCCTCAGTGACGTATTTAGATCAGCTTTAAGAGAAGAGAAGCTGATGTCGCTTCTGACTTTCTCACAGATTTGACAGACGACGGTATGATGATACGATGATATTTGAAGTGTTTTTGAGTGTCCTGAAAAGCGCTGTATAAAATCAATGTATTATTATTCTGACATTCGCTTTGCTCAAAGGCACATTGTTCTCTTGCTACCTGCTGTGATCAAGATCAGATTTCTTTTGTAAGTAAAAGGAAGTGGCTAACCAAGACTAGTGCTGCCTATTGAGGGAGGAGTCTCGGCCTTCATTCTAATATTTCAAAGTGGGAATTTAACAGTTAAATTAAGTTTTGCTCAAAAGGAGTGGGCTGAAGCAAAAAGCTTAGGAGCACCACATCCCCTATTTCAGAACCCCAGTTTCCAAGATTGAACCGGAAAGAAATACCCTCAGTGTAGAGCGGGCTCTGCAGAAACCCTGGTACAAAGAATCCCCACTGTGCATAGTTCTCCAGGAGGATGAGGAGCTGGCTTCCTCCTGGTCATGTGACGTGTATGTCCTCAGGTCACTGATTCCACACTGGAAGAGTCCTCTCCTGAATCATCGCCAAAATAGCCGGACCGAGCCGAAAGAGGACGACCTCGGATTCAGAGCCCAGCAGCGGGAGCGAGAACGGCGAGGGGCGACCGGTCAGCGCCAAGAGCCCCAAGATGGACGCCAGCATGGGTGAGTGATCCAAGATGGACGCCAGTGTGTTTGTGTGTAAGATCCAGCGGGGGCAGGTCCCGGCTCAAAAGGATCCTATGGATCTGTGTTAAGTCTATGAAGCTATGTCTGCAAAAAAGTTTTACAAACACAAGCGAAGTGAGTATTTAAAAGACCGACGCTGTGTCGTGCAGGTCACGTAGGACCTGAGACGTAAACATGTGCAACACAAAAAAACTGAGATTTGACTGCGATTTATTAAACAAGGTAAACTATAAAAAGCCTCAAAGTAGCGGTAATTGCTGAAATATTTTTTGTACTCTAATTACTCAAACTACCTAAGGAATTGTTTCGGCTCTACTTGCAATCTGACTCCTCGTCGGTGTTGGCGTACCCGGAAACAGAATTATCCAATGCATTCTTATACCTTTCAAAGCAGTGTTTCAACACAAACAAATTGTTGCTGTGTCCATGACAACACGCCGGGTACAAGTGCATGCGTAGGCCTTGGTTACAACAGACGCACACCCACACACACTCACGCACTGCTGGAGGGAAAAGACTGGATGGCAAAGGGCCCAGGAGCCTTGGAGGAGTCTCCAGATGTGACATCATGGCCAAACCTACAAAAGTACGACACTTAATACGAGACAAGTGAAGAGAAATGTTTTCAGAGGCCTTCTTTGTAATCCCAGGAAAAAGTTCCTGTTGACGAAACATATTAATACACATTCAAGTGAAGGATTTGATTTACCGTTTTTGCATTTTGTATCAATGAGTCTCCTTCTGTAAGACCTCCACCTTATGTAGAGTCTGAATGCAGTTGTAAATGTTTGGGTGTCTGTCCTGCAGGGGGCGCTGGAGGCGCTGGAGGTGGCAGGGCCCACAGGTTCACAGACCACAGCTCCAGCAAGAAGAAGCAGAAGGACCGAGTGAACCAGGAGAGCAGAGAGGCCAAGAGAACCACGGCCGAGAGGGTCATCGCCCAGGTCAAGAAAGGTACGTGTCAGAGTGATTCCTTTCCCTTGGTGGACCACAGGCTACCCAAAAGAAGAAGAAGAAGGTCAGAGTGATTATGGCCCCCTTCTGGTCTACAGAAGGACTGCAGTTCCTCCTCTTGACACGTGCCACTCTCTGATCCTCCTCCCTGCTCCGTCTCTCTGCTCCTTCTCTCCACCACCCTCTGATCCTCCTCCTCTTCCTCAGACGTCTTCATGGACTGGAAGCAGAACGCCAGTGATGTTATCGTGCGTCTGCGCTGTGGCGACGGCGTCCAGAGCGCTGAGGACGTGAGCTGCAGCTTCAGCGACACACACGCACTGGTCAGCTTCCCTGGTGAGTCGGGTCTAATGTGAGTCTGGTCTGATGTGAGTCTGGTCTGATGTGAGTCTGGTCTGATGTGAGTCAGGTCTGATGTGAGTCGGGTCTAATGTGAGTCTGGTCTGATGTGAGTCGGGTCTGATGTGAGTCGGGTCTGATGTGAGTCTGGTCTGATGTGAGTCTGGTCTGATGTGAGTCTGGTCTGATGTGAGTCTGGTCTGATGTGAGTCTGGTCTGATGTGAGTCTGGTCTGATGTGAGTCTGGTCTGGTGTGAGTCTGGTCTGGTGTGAGTCTGGTCTGGTGTGAGTCTGGTCTGATGTGAGTCTGGTCTGATGTGAGTCTGGTCTAATGTGAGTCTGGTCTGGTGTGAGTCTGGTCTGATGTGAGTCTGGTCTAATGTGAGTCTGGTCTAATGTGAGTCTGGTCTGATGTGAGTCTGGTCTCATGTGAGTCTGGTCTGATGTGAGTCTGGTCTGATGTGAGTCTGTTCTGATGTGAGTCTGGTCTGATGTGAGTCTGGTCTGATGTGAGTCTGGTCTGATGTGAGTCTGGTCTGATGTGAGTCTGGTCTGATGTGAGTCTGGTCTGATGTGAGTCTGGTCTGATGTGAGTCTGGTCTGATGTGAGTCTGGTCTGATGTGAGTCTGGTCTGATGTGAGTCTGGTCTGATGTGAGTCTGGTCTGATGTGAGTCTGGTCTGATGTGAGTCTGGTCTGATGTGAGTCTGGTCTGATGTGAGTCTGGTCTGATGTGAGTCTGGTCTAAGTGTGTGAGTCTGGTCTAATGTGAGTCGGGTCTAATGTGAGTCTGGTCTGGTGTGAGTCTGGTCTGATGTGAGTCGGGTCTGATGTGAGTCGGGTCTGATGTGAGTCGGGTCTGATGTGAGTCGGGTCTGATGTGAGTCTGGTCTAATGTGAGTCTGGTCTAATGTGAGTCTGGTCTGGTGTGAGTCTGGTCTGATGTGAGTCTGATGTGAGTCTGGTCTGATGTGAGTCTGGTCTGATGTGAGTCTGATGTGAGTCTGATGTGAGTCTGGTCTAATGTGAGTCGGTTCTGATGTGAGTCTGGTCTGATGTGAGTCGGGTCTGGTGTGAGTCTGGTCTGGTGTGAGTCTGGTCTGGTGTGAGTGGTCTGGTGTGAGTCTGGTCTAATGTGAGTCTGGTCTAATGTGAGTCTGGTCTGGTGTGAGTCTGGTCTAATGTGTGTGGTCTAATGTGTGTGGTCTAATGTGTCTGGTCTGGTGTGAGTCTGGTCTGATGTGAGTCTGGTCTGATGTGAGTCAGGTCTGATGTGAGTCGGGTCTAATGTGAGTCTGGTCTGATGTGAGTCGGGTCTGATGTGAGTCGGGTCTGATGTGAGTCTGGTCTGATGTGAGTCTGGTCTGATGTGAGTCTGGTCTGATGTGAGTCTGGTCTGATGTGAGTCTGGTCTGATGTGAGTCTGGTCTGATGTGAGTCTGGTCTGGTGTGAGTCTGGTCTGGTGTGAGTCTGGTCTGGTGTGAGTCTGGTCTGGTGTGAGTCTGGTCTGATGTGAGTCTGGTCTAATGTGAGTCTGGTCTGGTGTGAGTCTGGTCTGATGTGAGTCTGGTCTAATGTGAGTCTGGTCTAATGTGAGTCTGGTCTGATGTGAGTCTGGTCTAATGTGAGTCTGGTCTGATGTGAGTCTGGTCTGATGTGAGTCTGTTCTGATGTGAGTCTGGTCTGATGTGAGTCTGGTCTGATGTGAGTCTGGTCTGATGTGAGTCTGGTCTGATGTGAGTCTGGTCTGATGTGAGTCTGGTCTGATGTGAGTCTGGTCTGATGTGAGTCTGGTCTGATGTGAGTCTGGTCTGATGTGAGTCTGGTCTGATGTGAGTCTGGTCTGATGTGAGTCTGGTCTGATGTGAGTCTGGTCTGATGTGAGTCTGGTCTGATGTGAGTCTGGTCTGATGTGAGTCTGGTCTGATGTGAGTCTGGTCTAATGTGAGTCTGGTCTAATGTGAGTCGGGTCTAATGTGAGTCTGGTCTGGTGTGAGTCTGGTCTGATGTGAGTCGGGTCTGATGTGAGTCGGGTCTGATGTGAGTCGGGTCTGATGTGAGTCGGGTCTGATGTGAGTCTGGTCTAATGTGAGTCTGGTCTAATGTGAGTCTGGTCTGGTGTGAGTCTGGTCTGATGTGAGTCTGATGTGAGTCTGGTCTGATGTGAGTCTGGTCTGATGTGAGTCTGATGTGAGTCTGATGTGAGTCTGGTCTAATGTGAGTCGGTTCTGATGTGAGTCTGGTCTGATGTGAGTCGGGTCTGGTGTGAGTCTGGTCTGGTGTGAGTCTGGTCTGGTGTGAGTGGTCTGGTGTGAGTCTGGTCTAATGTGAGTCTGGTCTAATGTGAGTCTGGTCTGGTGTGAGTCTGGTCTAATGTGTGTGGTCTAATGTGTGTGGTCTAATGTGTCTGGTCTGGTGTGAGTCTGGTCTAATGTGAGTCTGGTCTAATGTGAGTCTGATGTGAGTCTGGTCTGATGTGAGTCTGGTCTGATGTGAGTCTGGTCTGATGTGAGTCTGGTCTGATGTGAGTCTGGTCTGATGTGAGTCTGGTCTGATGTGAGTCTGGTCTGATGTGAGTCTGGTCTGATGTGAGTCTGGTCTGGTGTGAGTCTGGTCTAATGTGAGTCTGGTCTAATGTGAGTCTGATGTGAGTCTGGTCTGATGTGAGTCTGGTCTGGTGTGAGTCTGGTCTAATGTGAGTCTGGTCTAATGTGAGTCTGATGTGAGTCTGGTCTGATGTGAGTCTGGTCTGATGTGAGTAATTCAAATTTTTCCAAGATCTTAGACTGTCTGGAACAAACAAAAAATAAATTCTCTGCAATAGCTATTTCAGAGACATGGCTTGGCTGTGAAGAGCAATCTTGTTTGTTCAAAATAGAAGGATATAATGCATTCTACAAAAGTAGAAATTGTCAAAAAGGCGGAGGAGTTGCATTGTATATTGATCAGAATTTGAGAAGTAAACTCGTCAGTAGTAAGTGTTTAATTCTGGATAACATCATGGAATGTGTTACAGTGGAAATTGAGATTGAAAAATCAAAAAATGCCATAATAAGCTGTGTGTATCGAAAACCAGGGTCTTGTATTGAAAAGTTTCAGGAAATAATGATTGATCTGTATGAGGATATAAGTAATAAAATGGTCTTTGTCTGTGGAGATTTTAATATTGACCTGCTCAATCCTCAAAAACAAAACACAGTTACAGAATGTATTCATTCCATGTACAGTTTATGCTTGTATCCATCCATAACAAGACCAACTCGAATAACAAAATCCTGTGCAACCCTGATTGACAACGTTTTAGAAAGTGAAATAACAAGTGGAGTTTTAATTAATGATATATCTGACCATCTACCAGTTTTTACAGTAACAAAGAGAGTTTCCAAATCAGTAAAAGAAAACAAAAAAATCATAGTAAAAAGGTTAAAATCTCAAGAGGCTATTTCCAGACTCAAGGATGAACTAACAGAACAAAGTTGGGATAATGTTTATGTAGAAGATGTAAATACTGCATATGATGCATTTATCAAAATCTTTATTACCTTGGATGAAAAACACTGCCCTCTAGTTAATAAAGTTATAAACCATAGATTTACAGAAAAGCCCTGGTTTACGAGGGGAATTCAAAAAGCATGTAAGAGGAAGAATAAACTGTACAAAGACTTCTTGCGAAAGAAGACTAAAGAGGCTGAATGTACTTACAAACAATATAAGAACAGATTAACTAGTATTATAAGATCAAGTAAAATTAACTATTATGGTGCTCTTTTGGAGAAGAATAAAAGTAACATAAAAAATACTTGGAGTGTTTTAAACAAACTAATCAAAAAGGGAAATCAAAATGCTGACATTCCAACTGAATTTCTAATAAACGATAGAACTTTGATCAATCAATCCGATGAAATCGCAAACCAGTTTAATCAATATTTCACTAATATTGGCCCTAAATTAGCTAAAGAAATAGTCAACACTAATCAAGTTGATGCTTTAAGCAAAATACCAACCACTAATAAAACTATATTTATTCAACCCACTGATGAAAATGAAATAATTTCAGTTGTCAAAAACTGCAAGAATAAGATGTCAGCTGACTGGAATGGACTAGACATGTCAGTATTAAAAGACACTATTGAATGTGTTGTAAAACCAATCGCTTACATTTTTAATCTTTCTTTACAATCGGGGGTTTTTCCAGAAGGAATGAAGACTGCGAAAGTGATTCCTATTCACAAGGCTGGTGATAAACAGAAATTCACTAATTATAGACCTATTTCCATTCTGTCACAGTTTTCCAAGATCCTGGAGAAGATCTTCCATAAAAGATTATTCAGTTATGTAGATAAGCAAAATATTATTTGTGAACAGCAGTATGATTTTAGACCCGAAAGGACCACTACCTTAGCATTAGTGGACCTTGTAGAAAAAATATCAAATACTATAGCCCAGGGGTGGCCAACCAGTCCGAGACTAAGAGCCAATTTTTTTTACTGTGTTACAGCAAAGAGCCACATCATACAAATGTGCACTACATAAACATCACCCCAACCCTTACACACGCACGCGCACGTACGCACACGAGCAGACACGCGCACACACATGCAATCTGTCTGAGCAGAGAGAGGTGTGCTCTGCTCAGATAGATGTAAATGTCATCAACATGATAATGACAGAAATTGACTCGTACAGCACTAAAGGGCTGGACTCGACTCTCCCCGGTTTGCGGGCGCTTCCACCGCTCGCTTCAACCGCTCCCCGGTACTTTTTATTAATGGTTTGGCCCTGGTTCTAACCGGGCGAGTCGATACCAGAACAATTTCACGTCAGCGAACATCAATTATGATTCCGAAATGAATGCTTTCAATCTCTAACCAAGAAAAAAAAATCAAGTTTCAACCCAGTGTTCAGCAGAAACACAACTGTCTTTAGTAAAAGATATAGATTTGACACATAACACCAACACCACTTTAGCTGATTTAGAACCACAGACACATGCTCAGTATAAGACCAGATAGTTTCGCATTTGATTGAAGACAGACACTCACCAGGCAGAGTTGGCTTATCTCCTGGTGTAATGCTAGTTGTTGTTAGCTGGTTTTAGCATGTTAGCCGGTGTTAGCCGATGTCCGTAAATGTAATCCATTTGGTCAAACCACCTCCAGACTTTTCGGGTCTGCCTCTACTTCTGCTGCTGCGATCTTTCATTTCACGGTTGTCACTTTTAAGCTTTTTAACTTTTCTCTGCATTGTCATGTTTGTGGGAATCATTCTGCTCCGTCCTTAGTGCTAGCTCCACAAACACCTTCTGGTTTCTGGTGGAACCAGCGAGATCAGGCTGGTGTCCTCTCCTCAAACTGAGGAAGGTGTTTCCCTCATCCAGCGACCAAGGAATTGTTTTCCGTACGGACGTCATGGTTTGAGGCAACGTGTTGTTTGTTATGATATTTGCTACAGCTGAGGTAGCAGCTGCAGAGTGATTGACAGCGCATCTGACCAACCAGAATTGACGTTCGCCGACTTCAGATTGTTTTGGTGGCCTGGCTAGTGGAGTGAAGTCGGCCTTTACTATTGGTCAGAACTACATATGGAATGAAAGGCAGCGCCACCACCGAGGCGTTTTTGACGCTTGTCGAGTGAAAGCCCGAGAGCCGCACGGAACCAGCCAAAGAGCCGCATGCGGCTCACGAGCCGCGGGTTGGCCACCCCTGCTATAGCCGATAAACAATATGCTGTTGGTGTGTTCCTAGACCTAACCAAAGCTTTTGATACAGTGAATCATGAATTGCTACTTCAAAAACTGTACAGATATGGGATTAGAGGAGTGGCTTTTTCTTGGCTCCAGACTTATTTGAAGAACAGATCCCAGTATGTCCACACCAATGGCACTGATTCCCAGCTGCTGACAGTTTCCTGCGGGCTGCCACAGGGGTCAGTGTTGGGTCCGTTTTTGTTTCTTATGTATATTAACGATCTGTTTAGTTTCAAAAACATTAAACCTTATTTTATTCGCTGATGACACCAACATGCTTAGTTGTGGTAAGAATTTAGAAGCATTGATAGATATAGTAGAGAAAGAATTATTATTGTTAAAGAAGTGGTTTGATTCTAATAAGTTAACCCTTAATTTAAATAAAACTAAATTTATAGTTTTTGGAAATCGTGCCATTAATGTGTGTAGAAATTTAAGAATAAATGATACTGAGATAGAACGAGTGAATGAAATAAAATTTCTTGGAGTACTTTTACAAAATAAGCTTAGCTGGAAGCCCCATATAAACTACATCAAGGCAAAGCTATGTAAATCTCTTGCAATAATATCTAAAGTTAAAGAACTCTTAAATGAAAACAACTTATATATGTTATACTGTTCCCTGGTTCTCCCGTACATGACCTATGGCCTAGAAGTTTGGGGAAACACTTACAAAACCAATCTTAATCCAATAAGCATCATCCAAAAAAGCTTTAGCTTCTGCCTATTCCATTTCAGACTTTATGTTTATTTATCATCTGTTTGTCATCTGTTGAATGTTTGAATGTCTGAATAAAATAATCTGAATCTGAGTCGGGTCTGGTGTGAGTCGGGTCTGGTGTGAGTCGGGTCTGGTGTGAGTCGGGTCTGGTGTGAGTCGGGTCTGGTGTGAGTCGGGTCTGGTGTGAGTCGGGTCTGGTGTGAGTCGGGTCTGGTGTGAGTCGGGTCTGGTGTGAGTCGGGTCTGATGTGAGTCGGGTCTAATGTGAGTCGGGTCTAATGTGAGTCTGGTCTAATGTGAGTCTGGTCTAATGTGAGTCTGGTCTAATGTGAGTCTGGTCTAATGTGAGTCTGGTCTAATGTGAGTCGGGTCTAATGTGAGTCGGGTCTAATGTGAGTCGGGTCTAATGTGAGTCGGGTCTAATGTGAGTCGGGTCTAATGTGAGTCGGGTCTAATGTGAGTCGGGTCTAATGTGAGTCGGGTGTGAGTCTGGTCTGATGTGAGTCGGGTCTAATGTGAGTCGGGTCTGATGTGAGTCTGGTCTGATGTGAGTCTGGTCTGATGTGAGTCTGGTCTGATGTGAGTCTGATGTGAGTCTGGTCTGATGTGAGTCTGATGTGAGTCTGGTCTGATGTGAGTCTGGTCTGATGTGAGTCTGGTCTAATGTGAGTAGTCTGGTCTGATGTGAGTCTGGTCTGATGTGAGTCGGGTCTGATGTGAGTCTGATGTGAGTCTGGTCTGATGTGAGTCTGGTCTAATGTGAGTAGTCTGGTCTGATGTGAGTCGGGTCTGATGTGAGTCGGGTCTGATGTGAGTCGGGTCTGATGTGAGTCGGGTCTGATGTGAGTCGGGTCTGATGTGAGTCGGGTCTGGTGTGAGTGGTCTAATGTGAGTCTGGTCTGATGTGAGTCTGGTCTGGTGTGAGTCGGGTCTAATGTGAGTCTGGTCTAATGTGAGTCTGGTCTAATGTGAGTCTGGTCTGGTGTGAGTCGGGTCTGGTGTGAGTCGGGTCTGGTGTGAGTCGGGTCTGATGTGAGTCGGGTCTGATGTGAGTCGGGTCTGATGTGAGTCGGGTCTGATGTGAGTCTGGTCTGATGTGAGTCTGGTCTGATGTGAGTCTGGTCTGATGTGAGTCTGGTCTGATGTGAGTCTGGTCTGATGTGAGTCTGGTCTGATGTGAGTCTGGTCTGATGTGAGTCTACTTTAATCCTGTGTGTGTGTGTGTGTGTGTGTGCGTTGCAGATGGGCGTGAGTGGTGCTGCCCCCTACAGGAGGAGGTGGAAGCTTCATGCAGTCGGGTTCAGTTCAAAGAGAAGAGCAGTCTGCTGCATGTGGTCCTGCACAAGAAGATCCCCTTCCACACATGGTCCTCACTCATGGTACACACACACACACACACACACACACATAGTCCTCACAGGGTCCTCACAGGTGTCGTAGATTAACCACACAGAGACGGGATCTTTGCGCACTAGAGCTGCTGGAAGTTTATTCAGTTTCCCTCAGGTTTCAGTTTTTTTCAGCCAGAACAAAGTCAGGACATGGTTTATACAGTAATTCGTTACGTCACAGCTACGTCACACATGGAAAGACCTACGTGTTGCATCAGTCTCACACGCTCAATTAAAATCTGTCCAATCATTTATCAAAGTGTGTGTCAGACCTGATCCTCAAGCTTTTGTTTCTGCTCCTGTTTCAGTCCAACAAGAAGAAGGACTCACAGAAGGAGACCAGGGGCCCCGTGGAGAAGGAGACCAGGGGCCCCGTGGAGAAGGAGACCAGGGGCCCCGTGGAGAAGGAGACCAGGGGCCCCGTGGAGAAGGAGACCAGGGGCCCCGTGGAGAAGGAGACCAGGGGCCCCGTGGAGAAGGAGACAAGGGGCCCCGTGCAGAAGGAGACCAGGGGCCCAGAGGAGGAGAGGAAGGAGTCCACAGCTTGTGCCCAGAAGAAGGACCAGGGTCTGAGCCAGGACCAGAACCAGAGCAAAGGCACTCAGAAGGGCCACAAAGCCGTGAGGAAGCGGCCCCCAACGAACAAGCAGAGCAAGGAGGCTGTGAGGGAAGAGACTGAGAAGACGTCGATCTCTAGAGCAGACCCTAGAGAAGAGAGTGAGAAGAGTGAGTCCAGAGCAGAGAAGGAGGAGGCTGTAGACAGAAGAGGAGAGAAGGACCAGAAGACTGAAGCAACCAGTGAGAGGACAGAGGAGCCCAGAGACAACACAGAGCGGTGAGTCAGAGTCCCATCCTCACAGCTCCAGGATCCTGTTCCTCCTCTGCTCATAAGTGTTCATACCCTCTTGACTTTATATTGTCTAGAGCATGACACTGCAATAAACCAGAAATAATGTGACGTATTGTTTTTATGTGTTGTGACAGGTCCAGGGAGAAGGCTGCTGACTCCTCTGTGATCAGGACCTGTGCTGAGTCTCCTCTGGTCTCTGAGCAGATCCCCGCTCTGTCCATGTCCCCTGTGCCCATGGAGCCTGTGTCCTCTCTGTCCCCTGTGCCCATGGTGCCTGTGTCCTCTCTGTCCCCTGTGCCCATGGTGCCTGTGTCCTCTCTGTCCCCTGTGCCCATGGTGCCTGTGTCCTCTCTGTCCCCTGTGCCCATGGTGCCTGTGTCCTCTCTGTCCCCTGTGCCCATGGTGCCTGTGTCCTCTCTGTCTCCTCTACCCATGGTGCCTGTGTCCTCTGTGCCCATGGTGCCTGGTGTCCCTGCTGAACGGAGCACCGCTCCATCTCAGGCTGAAGACTGTGGAGTTCAGGTCAGTATAGATCAAAGATTCATCTGGACCATAGACTCCTCGCATCCAGAAATCACTGATACCAATGTACACACACCAGCCACTTTAGACCTTGCTAGTACCGGGTTGGACCTTTTTTCCGTCTTAATCCTTTGTGGCATAGATTCACCAAGGTACTGGACACATTCCTTAGAGACTTTGGTCCATATTTGATGCAGTTTGTGCAGATTTGTCGGCTGCACACCCATGATGCTCCTGTTCCATCCCAAAGTGTCTCTGTTGGATTGAGATCTGTGACTGTGGAGGCCATTACAGTACAGTGAACGTCATGTTCAAGAAAACTTTCCGGCTTTAGACCCCACCACAGCACTGAGACTGCTCTTGTCAAGGTTACAAACGATATCCGGCTGAACACTGACGCAGGCAAAGTCTCAATCTTAATCTTGTTAGATCTGAGTGCTGCCTTTGACACCGTCGACCATGAGATCCTCTTACAGAGACTAGAGGACTGGGTTGGCGTCGCTGGCACCGCCCTAAGTTGGTTTGGGTCTTACCTTGAGGACAGGAAGTACTTTGTGGAGATTGGAAACTGTGTCTCAGATCATATGGCCCTGACCTGTGGAGTCCCACAGGGGTCGATCCTGGGACCTCTTCTGTTCAATCTCTACATGCTGCCGTTAGGTCAGTTAATACGCAGAAACGAAGTTTCCTATCATAACTATGCAGACGACACTCAGATCTATGTCTCACTGACTGCAGGAGAACATGGACCAGTGGACTCACTCCTTCACTGTATCCAACAGATCAGTGAGTGGATGCAAAACAACTTCCTTCAGCTAAACGCAGACAAAACTGAAATGATTGTCTTTGGTCCCCAGAAACAAAGAGAGAGCGTCATCTGTCACCTACAGTCTCTCTCCCTAAAACCTTCAAACAAGGTCAGAAATCTAGGGGTAATACTGGACTCAGACTTAAATTTTAATAACCACATCAAATCCGTAACATCAGCAGCTTTTTACCATCTAAAAAACATTGCCAGGATCAAAAACATAGTGTCTAAAGCAGACTTGGAGATTCTTATCCATGCATTTGTCTCCAGTAGGTTAGACTACTGCAATGGCCTGCTCACAGGTCTGTCCAAACAGGCTGTAAAACAGCTGCAGTACATTCAAAATGCAGCAGCTCGAGTCCTGACAAGAACCAGGAAGTACGACCACATTAGTCCAGTCCTCAGGTCTCTGCACTGGCTTCCTGTGGATCAGAGAATAGACTTTAAAACAGCTCTGCTTGTTACAAGTCTCTCCATGGCCTCGCACCAAAATATATTAGTGACATGTTAGTCCCATATGAACCAGCCCGGACTCTGAGGAGCACAGGGACTGGACTCCTGTTAGTGCCCAGAGTCAGAACTAAACATGGGGAGGCTGCTTTTCAGATTCATGCTGCTAAAATCTGGAACAGTCTTCCTGAAGATGTGAGACAGGCCTCCTCTCTGACAATGTTTAAAACCAGGTTAAAAACAGTTCTGTTTAGCTGTTTTAATGTTCTGTGATTATTTATGATTTTAATGCTTTCTTGTTTTGTTCAGCACTTTGAATTGCCTTGTGTATGAATTGTGCTATATAAATAAACTTGCCTTGCCTTAGTTTACTATCCACGTGGTCTCTGGTCTCCCTTTCTGGTGTGTCTCTCTCTCTCTCTCTGGTCTCTTTTCTGGTGTCTCTCTGGTGTCTCTCTCGCTCTCTGGTGTGTCTCTCTGGTGTCTCTCTCTGGTGTGTGTGTGTCTTTCTCTCTCTCTGGTGTGTGTCTCTCTCTCTCTGGTGTCTCTCGCTCTCTGGTGTGTCTCTCTGGTGTGTCTCTCTGGTGTCTCTCTGGTGTGTCTCTCTGGTGTGTCTCAGGTGTGTGTGTGTGTCTTTCTCTCTCTGGTGTGTGTCTGGTGTCTATCTGTTGCGCGTCTCTATCTTTCTCTCTGTTTTTTTCTCTCTCTGCTGTGTCTTTCTCTGAGTCTCTCTCTGCTGTGTGTCTCTCTCCCTCTGCTGTGTCTCTCTCTCTCTGCTGTGTCTCTCTGCTGTGTCTCTCTGCTGTGTCTCTCTTTGATGTGTCTCTCTCTGCTGTGTCTCTCTGCTGTGTCTCTCTGCTGTGTCTCTCTGCTGTGTCTCTGCTGTGTCTTTCTCTGCTGTGTCTCTCTCTGATGTGTCTCTCTCTGTGGTGTCTCTCTCTCCCTCTGGTGTGTCTCTCTCTGGTCTCTCCCTTTGGTCTCTATAACCCAGACTCTCTTGTTTCTGCAGATAACAGAATCCCAAGAGGAGATGCAGACTTCAGCTCCACCACCAGAGGGCGATAGTGGCTCAGAGCAGCACATGGACACTGCACCAGGAGCAGAGGCCACAGAAGAGAAGAGCGACAGGTGCAAAGAGGAGGAGCCAGACACTCAGCGGCAGGAAGGTAAACGTTCTGTCCATATGGTTCTCATGCATGTCTCCTATGGTCCACATGGGAATAGGCAATAATGTGAGGATTCAATAGTATTGCAGTATTCAGGCCTCTATCCAATATTATTGTGATTCTTAACATACAGAAAGTATCAGATTCTGTGATTCATGTCTTTCATATTATTCAAAGACTTTACAAAAATGGGGGAAAATAAGACGTCATAGAGTCACAACAAGCAGACATCAGAGAGTCACAACAAGCAGACGTCAGAGTCACAACAAGCAGACGTCAGAGTCACAACAAGCAGACGTCAGAGTCACAACAAGCAGACGTCATAGAGTCACAACAAGCAGACGTCATAGAGTCACAACAAGCAGACATAGTCACAACAAGCAGACATAGTCACAACAAGCAGACGTCAGAGTCACAACAAGCAGACGTCATAGTCACAACAAGCAGACGTCATAGTCACAACAAGCAGACGTCATAGAGTCACAACAAGCAGACATAGTCACAACAAGCAGACATAGTCACAACAAGCAGACGTCAGAGTCACAACAAGCAGACGTCAGAGTCACAACAAGCAGACGTCATAGAGTCACAACAAGCAGACGTCATAGAGTCACAACAAGCAGACATAGTCACAACAAGCAGACATAGTCACAACAAGCAGACATAGTCACAACAAGCAGACATAGTCACAACAAGCAGACATAGTCACAACAAGCAGACATAGTCACAACAAGCAGACATAGTCACAACAAGCAGACGTCATAGTCACAACAAGCAGACGTCATAGTCACAACAAGCAGACGTCATAGTCACAACAAGCAGACGTCATAGTCACAACAAGCAGACGTCAGTCACAACAAGCAGACATCAGAGAGTCACAACAAGCAGACATCAGAGTCACAACAAGCAGACGTCATAGAGTCACAACAAGCAGACGTCAGTCACAACAAGCAGACGTCATAGAGTCACAACAAGCAGACGTCAGAGTCACAACAAGCAGACGTCAGAGTCACAACAAGCAGACATAGTCACAACAAGCAGACGTCAGAGTCACAACAAGCAGACGTCATAGAGTCACAACAAGCAGACGTCATAGAGTCACAACAAGCAGACGTCATAGAGTCACAACAAGCAGACGTCATAGAGTCACAACAAGCAGACGTCATAGAGTCACAACAAGCAGACGTCATAGAGTCACAACAAGCAGACGTCATAGAGTCACAACAAGCAGACGTCATAGAGTCACAACAAGCAGACATCAGAGAGTCACAACAAGCAGACATCAGTCACAACAAGCAGACGTCATAGAGTCACAACAAGAGAGACGTCAGAGTCACAACAAGCAGACGTCAGAGTCACAACAAGCAGACGTCAGAGTCACAACAAGCAGACGTCAGAGTCACAACAAGCAGACGTCAGAGTCACAACAAGCAGACGTCAGAGTCACAACAAGCAGACGTCAGAGTCACAACAAGCAGACGTCAGAGTCACAACAAGCAGACGTCAGAGTCACAACAAGCAGACGTCAGAGTCACAACAAGCAGACGTCAGAGTCACAACAAGCAGACGTCAGAGTCACAACAAGCAGACGTCAGAGTCACAACAAGCAGACGTCAGAGTCACAACAAGCAGACGTCAGAGTCACAACAAGCAGACGTCAGAGTCACAACAAGCAGACGTCAGAGTCACAACAAGCAGACGTCAGAGTCACAACAAGCAGACGTCAGAGTCACAACAAGCAGACGTCAGAGTCACAACAAGCAGACGTCAGAGTCACAACAAGCAGACGTCATAGAGTCACAACAAGCAGACATAGTCACAACAAGCAGACGTCATAGAGTCACAACAAGCAGACGTCATAGAGTCACAACAAGCAGACGTCAGAGTCACAACAAGCAGACATCAGAGTCACAACAAGCAGACATCAGAGTCACAACAAGCAGACGTCATAGAGTCACAACAAGCAGACGTCAGTCACAACAAGCAGACGTCATAGAGTCACAACAAGCAGACGTCAGTCACAACAAGCAGACGTCATAGAGTCACAACAAGCAGACGTCATAGAGTCACAACAAGCAGACGTCAGAGTCACAACAAGCAGACATAGTCACAACAAGCAGACGTCATAGAGTCACAACAAGCAGACGTCATAGAGTCACAACAAGCAGACGTCAGAGTCACAACAAGCAGACATCAGAGAGTCACAACAAGCAGACATCAGAGTCACAACAAGCAGACGTCATAGAGTCACAACAAGCAGACGTCATAGAGTCACAACAAGCAGACGTCAGAGTCACAACAAGCAGACGTCATAGAGTCACAACAAGCAGACGTCATAGAGTCACAACAAGCAGACGTCATAGAGTCACAACAAGCAGACGTCAGAGTCACAACAAGCAGACGTCAGAGTCACAACAAGCAGACGTCAGAGTCACAACAAGCAGACGTCAGAGTCACAACAAGCAGACGTCAGAGTCACAACAAGCAGACGTCAGAGTCACAACAAGCAGACGTCAGAGTCACAACAAGCAGACGTCAGAGTCACAACAAGCAGACGTCAGAGTCACAACAAGCAGACGTCAGAGTCACAACAAGCAGACGTCAGAGTCACAACAAGCAGACGTCAGAGTCACAACAAGCAGACGTCAGAGTCACAACAAGCAGACGTCAGAGTCACAACAAGCAGACGTCAGAGTCACAACAAGCAGACGTCAGAGTCACAACAAGCAGACGTCAGAGTCACAACAAGCAGACGTCAGAGTCACAACAAGCAGACGTCAGAGTCACAACAAGCAGACGTCAGAGTCACAAGCAAGCAGACGTCATAGAGTCACAACAAGCAGACGTCATAGAGTCACAACAAGCAGACGTCATAGAGTCACAACAAGCAGACATAATCACAACAAGCAGACATAGTCACAACAAGCAGACATAGTCACAACAAGCAGACATAGTCACAACAAGCAGACATAGTCACAACAAGCAGACATAGTCACAACAAGCAGACGTCATAGTCACAACAAGCAGACGTCATAGTCACAACAAGCAGACGTCATAGTCACAACAAGCAGACGTCATAGAGTCACAACAAGCAGACATAGTCACAACAAGCAGACATAGTCACAACAAGCAGACAGTCACAACAAGCAGACGTCATAGTCACAACAAGCAGACGTCATAGAGTCACAACAAGCAGACATAATCACAACAAGCAGACATAGTCACAACAAGCAGACATAGTCACAACAAGCAGACATAGTCACAACAAGCAGACATAGTCACAACAAGCAGACGTCATAGTCACAACAAGCAGACGTCATAGTCACAACAAGCAGACGTCATAGAGTCACAACAAGCAGACATAGTCACAACAAGCAGACATAGTCACAACAAGCAGACAGTCACAACAAGCAGACGTCAGAGTCACAACAAGCAGACGTCATAGTCACAACAAGCAGACGTCATAGAGTCACAACAAGCAGACGTCATAGAGTCACAACAAGCAGACATAGTCACAACAAGCAGACATAGTCACAACAAGCAGACATAGTCACAACAAGCAGACATAGTCACAACAAGCAGACATAGTCACAACAAGCAGACGTCATAGTCACAACAAGCAGACGTCATAGTCACAACAAGCAGACGTCATAGTCACAACAAGCAGACGTCAGAGTCACAACAAGCAGACGTCATAGAGTCACAACAAGCAGACGTCAGTCACAACAAGCAGACGTCATAGAGTCACAACAAGCAGACGTCATAGAGTCACAACAAGCAGACGTCATAGAGTCACAACAAGCAGACGTCATAGAGTCACAACAAGCAGACGTCAGAGTCACAACAAGCAGACGTCAGAGTCACAACAAGCAGACGTCATAGAGTCACAACAAGCAGACGTCATAGTCACTACAAGCAGACGTCAGAGTCACAACAAGCAGACGTCATAGAGTCACAACAAGCAGACGTCATAGAGTCACAACAAGCAGACGTCATAGAGTCACAACAAGCAGACGTCATAGAGTCACAACAAGCAGACGTCATAGAGTCACAACAAGCAGACGTCATAAGAGTCACAACAAGCAGACGTCATAAGAGTCACAACAAGCAGACGTCATAAGAGTCACAACAAGCAGACGTCATAAGAGTCACAACAAGCAGACGTCATAAAGGCGCGTTCAGACCAAAAGCTTCAAAAAGCTTTTGACGCGCTTCAACTGACGCCGGGATAGTTTTGTCATTTTGGTGCTTGAAGCTTTTGACGCGAGTGACGCGCCTGACGCCGGTGGGAGGAGCTTCTCTGTTGTCTGTTGTCAGGACAGCGGTGGATTTTTCAATGAGCAGCGAGCCTTTATTTGTTATATAAAGCAAAATAACGTTGTTGTAGGGCTTCAACAAAACATGTTCTGGGTTCACCACAGACTTGAGAGGCTGCAGTGTTTGCAGAGTTCCGTCATTTACTCCAGGAGCTGCGTACGGAGGAGTTTCGCTTTCAGCGGTACTTCCGCATGTCACTCGCCCAGTCTGAGTTCTCAAACCCCGGAGCTCGCCTCTCCCCGCCTCTCCCCGGCTCTCCCTGCCTCTCCCCGGCTCTCACTCGCCTCTCCCTGCCTCTCCCCGGCTCTCCCTGCCTCTCCCTGCCTCTCCCCGCCTCTCCCTGCCTCTCCCCGCCTCTCCCTGCCTCTCCCTGCCTCTCGCTCGCCTCTCCCCGCCTCGCTCTCGCCTCTCCCTGCCTCTCCCCGGCTCTCGCTCGCCTCTCCCCGCCTCGCTCTCGCCTCTCCCCTGCCTCTCCCCGGCTCTTGCTCGCCTCTCCCCGGCTCTCGCTCGCCTCTCCCCTGCCTCTCCCCGGCTCTCGCCCGCTCGGAGCTGCCTTGCTCTGAGCCAGACTCATCGTCAGCCTGTTCTTATTTTAAATAAACTACGTTTACTACACAGCATGTATACAATGATTTTTGTTACTCAGAATGTTACTACTCATACAAATAATATTACTAATAACAATAATGACAATAAAACAGCAGCAGTAGATACATGACTTCTCTTCATGACAGAGACAGACCCTCTGCTGCTGCTGCTCCTCGTCTCCTGATTGGTTGAAGCCCGCGTCAAAGCTTCAAAAGCTCCGCTTTGCTCAGCTTCGGCGTCAAAGGGATTGTTGTGATACGCGAGCGTTTCGCGCGTCAAAAGCTTCAAGTGAGCGCGTAGTACGCGCGACTCTTGAAGCTTTTGACGCGCGTCAAGTGACGCCGGGGCTCTCGGCTTCACCTGACGCGCTTCACCATTCACTTTCAATGGAAACCTGACGCTTTTGACGCCGAAGTTAAGTCCGGTGTGAACGCCCCTTAACTCATTGTGTCCCATTGACGCACAAATACGTCAAAGCAAATAGTAACGTCGTGTGCCATTGACGCATTAATCCGTCAATTGCCTTTTTCGCTATTTTCACGTTCCCAGATGTCTATTGTATCTAATATGTATGGGGATGACTTGAGACCATATTTTATCGAGCCAGCAGGTGGCAGCATTGCTCTCTGAATGGTTTGAAAACATGTAGGTGCCAATGTTGTGCCTCTTTTTTCTCAACTTTCTGGTGATTTCTGGTGATTTCAGTAAAACTTCCCTTTTTGCTGAGGAAAGTAGACAGTCCATTCTTTTAGAATCTGGTGTCGGATTTCAGATAGTCATAGTACACAATATTCTGTGGGTCTTGAAAAATCAGTAAAAATCATCAGAAATGGCTGGCACTGTGGGAGTACCTGTTCTGAAATAGGCTGGCATTCAATGAGTTAAGAGTCACAACAAGCAGACGTCATAAGAGTCACAACAAGCAGACGTCATAAGAGTCACAACAAGCAGACGTCATAAGAGTCACAACAAGCAGACGTCATAAGAGTCACAACAAGCAGACGTCATAAGAGTCACAACAAGCAGACGTCATAAGAGTCACAACAAGCAGACGTCATAAGAGTCACAACAAGCAGACGTCATAAGAGTCACAACAAGCAGACGTCATAAGAGTCACAACAAGCAGACGTCATAAGAGTCACAACAAGCAGACGTCATAAGAGTCACAACAAGCAGACGTCATAAGAGTCACAACAAGCAGACGTCATAAGAGTCACAACAAGCAGACGTCATAAGAGTCACAACAAGCAGACGTCATAAGAGTCACAACAAGCAGACGTCATAAGAGTCACAACAAGCAGACGTCATAAGAGTCACAACAAGCAGACGTCATAAGAGTCACAACAAGCAGACATAGTCACAACAAGCAGACGTCAGAGAGTCACAACAAGCAGACGTCAGAGTCACAACAAGCAGACGTCAGAGTCACAACAAGCAGACGTCAGAGTCACAACAAGCAGACGTCAGAGTCACAACAAGCAGACGTCATAAGAGTCACAACAAGCAGACGTCATAAGAGTCACAACAAGCAGACGTCATAAGAGTCACAACAAGCAGACGTCATAAGAGTCACAACAAGCAGACGTCATAAGAGTCACAACAAGCAGACGTCATAAGAGTCACAACAAGCAGACGTCATAAGAGTCACAACAAGCAGACATAGTCACAACAAGCAGACGTCAGAGAGTCACAACAAGCAGACGTCAGAGTCACAACAAGCAGACGTCAGAGTCACAACAAGCAGACGTCAGAGTCACAACAAGCAGACGTCAGAGTCACAACAAGCAGACGTCAGAGTCACAACAAGCAGACGTCAGAGTCACAACAAGCAGACGTCAGAGTCACAACAAGCAGACGTCATAGAGTCACAACAAGCAGACGTCAGAGTCACAACAAGCAGACGTCATAGAGTCACAACAAGCAGACGTCATAGAGTCACAACAAGCAGACGTCATAGAGTCACAACAAGCAGACGTCATAGAGTCACAACAAGCAGACGTCATAGAGTCACAACAAGCAGACGTCAGAGTTACAACAGTATAATATACTGAGTATAATCTGAAGTTGACGTGTGGTCTCTGCTGTATCCATTTCATTTTTCCTCCACCACTAGTCCTCATGCTTGTCTCCACATGGTTCTCAGTTCCAGAACACATGGTGACTCTGTGGTTGTGTCTGTATGGTCCTCATGCTTGTCTCCACATGGTTCTCAGTTCCAGAACACATGTTGACTCTGTGGTTGTGTCTGTATGGTCCTCATGCTTGTCTCCACATGGTTCTCAGTTCCAGAACACATGTTGACTCTGTGGTTGTGTCTGTATGGTCCTCATGCTTGTCTCTACATGGTTCTCAGTTCCAGAACACATGGTGACTCTGCAGAAGTTAAAGAACGACTCGTATGAAAAGGGCACAGACCTGATGGTGGTGAACGTTTACGTGAAGCATCTCCTCAGAGAGACCACCAGGGTCCTGTTCAGAGACCGGGACTTTACCCTTATCTTCCAGACCAGGTGAGACCAGGACTGTGTGTCAGCGTTTCTCTGTGACCGGGACTGGAACCTAGACCAGGCCCAGAGGTGACTCTGTGTTTGTTTCAGTGACTGTAACTTCCTGCGGCTGCACCCAGGCTGTGGACCCAACACTGTGTTCAGGTGGCAGGTCAAACTCAGGTCCGAGACGCACACGCTCACACGCACACTCACGCACTCGCACTCGCACGCACGCCCACTCACATGCACATGCACGCACACTCTTTAATGTTGTAATCCTTTGATGACAGGAACCAGATTGATCCGGACCAGAGCTCGTACTCGTTCACTCCGTTGCGTCTGGATGTGATCCTGAAGAAGAGGAGGAGTCAGCGCTGGGAGGGTCTGGAGGCCCTGGCCCCACAAGGTCTGTGCTACGCTCCTGCTGATGCTAATGCTAATGCTAGAGCTAACACTACAACTAATGCTACAGCTAATGCTACGACTAAAGCTGCTGCTCCTGCTCACTCCCCTCATGGTGAGTATCATACCACAATAACATTGTATCACTTTGACATGTGCAGTGGGAATTTAAACACATGTTTAAAGCTCAGGTCTGTAACTTTAGTCTCATCAATAACACATGTTTAAAGCTCAGGTCTGTAACTTTAGTCTCATCAATAACACATGTTTAAAGTTCAGGTCTGTAACTTTAGTCTCATCAATAACACATGGTTAAAGCTCAGGTCTGTAACTTTAGTCTCATCAATAACACATGTTTAAAGTTCAGGTCTGTAACTTTAGTCTCATCAATAACACATGTTTAAAGCTCAGGTCTGTAACTTTGGTCACATAATTACACATGCTTAAGGCCGGAGAGAGGGTTTAATACAGGTCTGAATGCTACAGACCCCAGCTTTAAGCACCATGTGACATCACCTTGTCTCATTAGCTCTTTCCACACATGGATGTGTCACACTCAGCAAATCAAAAAGACAAAACTACTGAAGTTTTGTCTCTCTCTGTCTCTTTCTGGTCTGTCTCATTCTGGTCTGTCTCTCTCTGGTCTCTCTCTGCTCTGTCTCTCTCTGGTCTCTCTCTTTCTGGTCTCTCTTTCTGGTCTGTCTCTGGTCTCTTTCGGGTCTCTCTCTCTCTGGTCCGTCTCTGGTCTCTCTCTGGTCTGTCTCTCTGCTCTGTCTCTCTCTGTCTCTCTCTGTCTCTCTCTGCTCTGTCTCTCTCTGCTCTGTCTCTGGTCTCTGGTTGCCGTGCTTTGAGCCCCACCCCTCTCTCCTGTTGAAGGTGCAGTGGGGGGTGCTAAGGTGGCTGTAGCCTCCAGTACGACCTGTCTGGAGAAGAACCTGCCTGGGAGCAGCCAGCACAGTCTGCCCCCTACAGAGGAGCCTCCGCGGGGGGTGGAGGACTCCACCAAAGGCCCCAAAGCTCCAGCCCGAGTCGAGGAGACTGGCCTGGACCAGGTCACCCCTCGATCGGAACATATGGGACTGAAGAGCGAAGCTGCCCTGACCACGGTGAGGAGACGCACTAAAGCTCAGGTCTGTAACTTTAGTCTCAATAACACAGGTTCAAAGATCAGGTTTGTAACCTTAGTCTCATAATTCTCACGTGTTTAGAGATGTTTGATTGGGGGCAGGGTGAGCAGGTCTCAGGTCTGTGTCTGTGATGGTGACTGGATCAGTTCTTTATCAGTGTCTTTCTGACCTCTGCTCATCGTCTTGTGAGAAGATATTATCTGTTTGTTTGAACCCCCCCTTTCAAGACGAGATACTAACTTGTCTGTCTCTTTCTGTGTCTCTGCCTCTGTGTGTGTGTGTCCCGTGCTCAGGCCAAGCCCACGTGCATGGTGCAGCCCATGTCGCACTCCCCCTCGGTCCCCGACCCGCGGGAAGAGGAGGAGGAGAGGAAGGTGTGTCTCCCTGGATTCACTGGTCTGGTCAACCTCGGCAACACCTGCTTCATGAACTCTGTGATCCAGAGTCTGTCCAACACCAGGGAGCTCAGGGACTACTTCCATGGTAAAGACTACACGCACACATACACACACACACACATACGCACATGCACACCAGTGGGGGCGGGTCCCAGCTCAAAAGTGGCCAAAATGACATGCGCTGACAGGCTTGCAATACCACCCCGGGCTGATGGGGGTGGACCCGAAATAAGAATTAGCCAATGCTAACATAGCATGCGCAGATTAGTTTTTTCACAATTTTTTGTGGGCGGGACCACTCACGGCCATTTTGGATAGCTCCAGTAGAGCACATTTTTTGGCCCATTAGTTAGAACGGCGGAGATAGGTGTGATTCTGTCCGTTAACTCATTGTGTCCCATTGACGCACAAATACGTCAAAGCAAATAGTAACGTCGTGTGCCATTGACGCATTAATCCGTCAATTGCCTTTTTTGCTATTTTCACGTTCCCAGATGTCTATTGTATCTAATATGTATGGGGATGACTTGAGACCATATTTTATCGAGCCAGCAGGTGGCAGCATTGCTCTCTGAATGGTTTGAAAACATGTAGGTGCCAATGTTGTGCCTCTTTTTTCTCAACTTTCTGGTGATTTCTGGTGATTTCAGTAAAACTTCCCTCTACTCGACGGAGGATTACAGGGGAACGAAAAAAGCTATAAACAAAATTCTTTTTGCTGAGGAAAGTAGACAGTCCATTCTTTTAGAATCTGGTGTCAGATTTCAGATAGTCATAGTACACAATATTCTGTGGGTCTTGAAAAATCTGTAAAAATCATCAGAAATGGCTGGCACTGTGGGAGTACCTGTTCTGAAATAGGCTGGCATTCAATGAGTTAATATATACAGTCTATGATGCGCACGCACACACATGCACACACACACACAAGCTGTAGACCCAGGGCTGTGGCTGTAGACCCAGGGCTGTGGCTGTAGACCCAGGGCTGTGGCTGTAGACCCAGGGCTGTGGTTGTAGACCCAGGGCTGTGGCTGTAGACCCAGGGCTGTGGCTGTAGACCCAGGGCTGTGGCTGTAGACCCAGGGCTGTGGTTGTAGACCCAGGGCTGTGGCTGTAGACCCAGGGCTGTGGCTGTAGACCCAGGGCTGTGGCTGTAGACCCAGGACTGTGGCTGTAGATGCTTCTGTGTGTTTCAGACCGGGCGTTCGAGTCAGAGATAAACTGTAACAACCCCCTGGGGACGGGCGGGCGTCTGGCCATCGGGTTTGCGGTCTTACTGAGAGCGCTGTGGAAGGGGACGCACCATGCCTTCCAGCCCTCAAAACTAAAGGTACACCCCCCGCTTCAAATACACATGTTTATATGTTATGCAATGATGTTAGAATCTCCTCGTCTGACCCTGAGCATAAGTCTCCATCCCCTTTGACAGCTGGGAGACTTTGTGGTGATTATAAATGAGGTTCTTAACAGGGGTGTACAGTCTCACTCTCTGTCTCTCTGTCTCTCTCTCTCTCTCTCTCACAGTCAGTTTCTCACAGTCTTTCTCTCTCTCTGTCAGTTTCTCACAGTCTCTCTCTCTCTCACAGTCAGTTTCTCACAGTCTTTCTCTCTCTCTGTCAGTTTCTCACACAGTCTCTCTCTCTCTCCTCTAGGCCATCGTGGCGAGCAAGGCCAGCCAGTTCACGGGTTATGCTCAGCATGATGCACAAGAGTTCATGGCGTTCTTGTTGGATGGACTTCATGAAGACCTGAACCGGATCCAGAACAAGCCCTACACAGAGACCGTGGACTCAGACGGACGACTGGACGAGGTTAGGACCCAGGGGCTTCCCAACCAGGGGGCCTCTCACTCTTAGGGAACTTTATAAATATAGCACAGTTCACACACCAGGCCACACAGGAGACATGAGCAGTGAAAGACATGCAGGCCTCTCACCCTCTGATGTGGTATCAGCAGCAGGAGCAGCAGTAGTATCTATCTATATTATCTAACCCTAAGCCATAGAAATATTAACGGATCATTAAACAAGCGCGAGGTCTTTTTGAATGACCTTGGTCTGATATTTCTCTGTACAGTCCGAGCACGCGAGGTTAATTAATGTTTTATTATTTGACTATTTTTAATTCAACCGATCACCACCTGGTTGTGAGTTGGATCCGCTGGCAGGGGAGGAAGCCGGTCAGACCTGGCAGGCCCAAGCGTGTAGTGAGGGTCTGCTGGGAACGTCTCGCTGAGCCCCCTGTCAGACGGATTTTCAAGTCACACCTCCGGGAGAGCTTCTCCCAGGTCCCGGCGGAGGAGGGGGATATTGAGTCTGAGTGGACCATGTTCTCTTCCTCTATCGCCGATGCGGCAGCTCGTAGCTGTGGTCGCAAGGTTTCTGGTGCTGGTCCCGGCGGCAACCCCCGAACCCGGTGGTGGACACCTGCAGTAAGGGATGCCGTCATGGTTCGGGGGACTCCTGAGGCAACTGTCCAGTACCGGCAGGCCAAACGTGCCGTGGCCCGGGTTGTTGCAGAGGCAAAAACCCGGGTCTGGGAGGAGTTTGGAGAGTCCATGGAGCAGGACTATCGGTCGGCCTCGAAGAGATTCTGGCAAACCGTCCGGCGCGGGTGGAGAGCTGCTGACCTCGACTGGGGATATTGTCGGGCGGTGGAAGGAATACTTTGAGGTTCTCCTCAACACCCCCGTCACGTCCTCCGTCCCAGAGGCTGAGGATGTTGGGGCGGATACTTCCATCTCCCTGTCAGAGGTCACCAAGGTGGTTGGTAGCCTCCATGGTGGCAAGGCGCCGGGAGTGGATGAGATCCGCCCTGATTATCTAAAGTCTCTGGATGTTGTGGGACTGTCTTGGCTGACACGTCTCTGCAACATTGCGTGGCAATCGGGGACGGTGCCGATGGAGTGGCAGACCGGGGTGGTGGTCCCTCTCTACAAGAAGGGGGACCGGAGGGTGTGTTCCAATTATCGTGGGATCACACTCCTCAGCCTCCCTGGTAAGGTCTACTCCAAGGTACTGGAGAGGAGGCTACGGCCGATGGTCGAATCTCGGATTCAGGAGGAGCAGTGTGGTTTTTGTCCCGGCCGCGGAACACTGGACCAGCTCTATACTCTCCATCGGATACTCGAGGGTTCATGGGAGTTCGCCCAACCTGTCCACATGTGCTTTGTGGATTTGGAGAAGGCGTTTGACCGTGTTCCCCGGGGTGTTCTTTGGGGGGTCCTCCTGGAGTACGGGGTCCGGGGTCCTCTGCTGAGGGCCGTCCGATCCCTGTATGACCGGAGTCAGAGCTGTGTTCGCATTGCCGGCAGTAAGTCAGACCTGTTCCCTGTGCATGTTGGCCTCCGCCAGGGCTGCCCTTTGTCACCGGTTCTGTTCACTGTATTCATGGACAGAATTTCTAGGCGCAGCCAGGGGCCGGAGGGGGTCCGGTTTGGGGACCACAGGATTTCATCTCTGCTGTTTGCGGACGATGTTGTCCTGTTGGCTCCAACGAACCAGGACCTGCAACATGCACTGGGACGGTTTGCAGCCGAGTGTGAAGCGGCTGGGAAGAGAATCAGCACCTCCAAATCTGAGGCCATGGTGCTCGACCGGAAAAAGGTGCCTTGCCCTCTCCGGGTGGGTGGAGAGGTCCTTCCTCAAGTGGAGGAGTTCAAGTATCTCGGGGTCTTGTTCACGAATGAGGGAAGGATGGAGCGTGAGATTGACAGGCGGATCGGTGCAGCGTGCGCAGTGATGCTTTCTCTGTATCGGACCGTTGTGGTAAAGAGGGAGCTGAGCCGAAAGGCAAAGCTCTCGATTTACCGGTCAATCTTCGTTCCCTCCCTCACCTATGGTCATGAGCTTTGGGTAATGACCGAAAGAACGAGATCGCGGATGCAAGCGGTCGAAATGAGCTTCCTCCGCAGAGTGGCTGGGCGCTCCCTTAGAAATAGGGTGAGGAGCTCAGTCGCACGGGAGGAGCTCGGAGTAGAGCCGCTGCTACTCCACGTCAAGAGGAACCAGTTGAGGTGGCTCGGGCATCTGTTCCGGATGCCTCCTGGATGCCTCCCTGGGGAGGTGTTCCGGGCACGTCCCACCGGGAGGAGGTCCCGGTGAAGATCCAGGACACGCTGGAGGGACTATGTCTCTCAGCTGGCCTGGGAACGCCTTGGGGTCCCCCCGGACGAGCTGGAGGAAGTGTGTGTGGATAGGGAAGTCTTGGGCGTCTCTGCTTAGACTGCTGCCCCCGCGACCCGGCAACGGATGAAGCGGAAGAAAACGGACGGACGGACTATTTTTAATTCATGCAAATATTGATCGGCTTCAACTAAACAATACAATACAATACAATACAATACAATTTATTCTTGTATAGCCCTAGGTCACAACAGAAGTCATCTCAGAGACTTAACAAAACCATTGAAATCACCAACACAGGTCAGAGAATCAACAGTTAAAACACATGAAGAATATAAAGCACACACAGAAGAAAATGTCCATACATGTTGTAGAATGCTAAAGTGTCCTGATCATCACCAATCCTTTCTGTTGGACACTAACTGTCCAACAAGACCCTCCTGCATCCACAAGGAACAACTCTTAAAAAACCCAGTGGGAAAAACACCTGCAACCAAACTGTCAAATTGAGAACTTGCTTATCAGATGATGGAGGCGCCCACTGTAAGTTCTCAGTCTCTTCTTTGTCTTTAATGCTTTTTAGATATTTGTCGATCTCTTCTTGACTGTGAGGAGTTGTGTTTTCGTCGTTATTTGCTGTTATTACTTCCTCTGGCTCTTCCAACTCGTCCAGATAATAGAGTTCACTGAGAATGCTCCTAGTCGTCGCTCATTATTTCTATTTTACCGAGGAAATTTGATATGCGCTGCGGACCAATTGTCATGGTAACGGTCCGAGATGGGAAAATATCAGATCGCAAATCAGCCAATCAGAGCGCTCGTACAATCCAAGTCATATAATAAACATAAATATTCACTTGCTGCTCTGATGAATTATTTCCAGCTCGCTAAAGGCCTGTGTTTACTCAGGCGTCACTTGTTGCTTTGGCGTTTGCACTAGACCGTGGTTGATCTCGCAGCCACAGTTGTTTGTACTCGGTCGCACCCCCCCATGTAGTAATCCAACAACACTGGGACACCAACGTTAGCTACTGTCTCCTCATAACACATTTTAACTGTGATGCTTTGAGTAAAGGCACAGTTTTTGTTGGAAACATAGTTATTATTAAAGTGTATTCAGCACAAACAGCAAAACAATAAGTGGTAAATATCTGAGACAAACATGAACAGTTTACAAGTTCAGGAGGAATGGAACAGACGCAATAAGCTTCAAGTGAAGATTCAAAGAAAGACGAGAACAACTGTTGTAATGACAAACATGAACATGGTTAAAGCTTAGTGGGTCAAGTGTGATGATTTACAAATGGTTCAGAGGGCTTTGTTTTATGGCAGGAAGGTATTGGGAGGATGTTTGAGTAAGTTCAGATGCAGTTTGTGAGTTTAATTATTAGACCGTGATTGACTGTCTCCTTTGATGTGACTGTTTCCCTGATCATGTGGATGATGTGATCTTGGACTGGGACAGTGTCCTGTTCCTGTGTCCTCTGCCCCTTTCCTTTCGACCCCCTTACCCCCCTGTTTCTCTGCTCTTCATACCTTGAGTTACCTGTTTTCATTCATCAGTGTAGAGGTGTGACATGTGTTTTTCCTGTGGCCAATGAGGGACCGGACCATCCTGATAAAGCTTGTGTGAATCCCACTGTGGGTCAGAGAGACTGATGCAGGGTCCGAGGAGCGACTGCAGAAGCTTTCTCCATTTGCTTTCTTATTCTAGTTCTTATGTTCTTTTTACTTCCATTAAACCACACAAAATGCAATTCTGTTTTTATGGATCTGTTGTGGAAATTCTGCACATAACGAGAGTAAAATAATGTAAACAACCCAGAGCTGTAATTCCAAACAAAGTGTGAGTTTATTCATTAGTAAATGTGCACAATTACAATGAATAACAGAACCGATACCAATACCACCTGCAGCCGTCTGAAACCAACTGCCCCGATTGAGGAAATAACTGTACATTAAATAGACCAGAGTAAACAAACGCATATCTACTCTAGATATTACATAAATGAAGTCAACATTGATATGTGTCGCTCAAGGCTTCTCTTTACGCGTCCTAACGCTGATACAACTCTGATATATGTAACAATCTGCTTTTAACTGAACATATTGTTCTATGACCCAGGTCAAAGACATGATGCGTCTCCATCTATCACTGACCTGAGCCAACAGAGCATTATGGCCTGTATCTGAATCCAGAGTTCACTGTTGGTTAATAACTTACACTCATAACTATTTGATGTTAATTCAGGTTGCTTCACTAAAATATTTCTATAACAGATCGTTAAGGAAATTTCCACAACACTGTACAGTATAGAAATGTTAGACGTGCAACAGAACAGTCCACAGCCTCCTGTAGATCAGGCTCTGAGCCTCGAGCCCAAACTACTTTTCCTTTGGTTCCTTCGAAGCACAGAGACAATCTGCTGCTCAGTGCCTCGTCCATGTTCCCCACAGCTGCTCCAGGCTTCCACCCAAGAAGTAATCACACACGGACCAATCACAACGGAGCCTCTCTGCTGCTGGCTGGGTAGTTAGAAAAATTCGAGGGTGCACGGGTTGGAGCGCGGGAGTGTGCGCGGGAGTGTGCGCGGGAGTGTGCGCGGGAGTGTGCGCGGGTTGTGTGTTCTCCCTGTGCTCTTGCTACTATCCTGTATGTGCACTGCAACAGCGACATTTCCCACTGAGGGACAAATAAAGATTCTCATATCTTATCTAGTTGTTGTTAACAAGTGTGTGTGTGTTGTTGTTATTAACGTGTGTTGTTGTTATTAACGTGTGTGTTGTAGGTGGTGGCGGAGGAGGCGTGGCAGAGACACAAAATGAGGAATGACTCGTTCATCGTGGATCTGTTCCAGGGACAGTTTAAGTCCAAACTGGTTTGCCCCACCTGCTCCAAGGTTTGTGTGTGTGTGTGTGTGTGTGTGTGTGTGTGTGTGTTGCAACTAGAGGTGCAACGGTTCATCACTGATCCGTGATCTGTTCGGTTCAACGTCTTCGGTTCGGTACAGACGTGATCCGCGGTTTTATTTATGAAAAAAAAGTTGTGCGCACGTTGTTCAGTCCACACACAGCGCGGTCATTGCGAGCAGAGGAACGGAGATGCTTGAAAGCCCTGCGTCATTTAAATCCCCAGTATGAGAGCATTTTGGCTTCACTGTAACTATACTGATAATTAAAATTCGACAAAACTGTCACGATGTGTAAGCACTGTGGCACAAGAAAGACATGAGTGAAAAAAGCGTCTCAACGACCGCTTATTGTCGCGGCATTTAAGCAGCTCCTTTACGCACAGTCAGACCGGGTTAAAGTCAACTCTCCCGCGCATCCTCAGCTGCGCTCACGACTGACGCTTGGACGTCCCGCGGAACCTATAATAGATCCATGAGCGGAACCGCTCACTTCATCACCGCAGACTGGGAGATGAAAAGTCTGGCACTGCAGACACGCCCCCTCTACGACAGTCACACAGTCACACAGGTACTGACACACGCAGCGGAGGAATGGAAGACAAAGGCCCAGTACTAATATTCTGGTCACAACTGATAATGCCAAAAATTAAATAAATGCAGTGAATGAGGCTGGGCCCAGAATGGACCGCCTCCTCGGGAGAATCAGGAAGGTGGTTTAATGTGTGAGGGTAAATATCCTCATAAAGTGCCTTCTTATGTTGCACTTTGTGTTGTTTTTCATTAATTATGTTAAATAGACATAATTGGATGGATGGAATATGCCATCCATCCATCCATCCATTTCCTTCCCCTTAATTCATTTCTAGGTCAGGGGGGGCAGTCAGAGCAGGTGCAGAGTCCACATTAGAGTTTCGCTTTTCAGCCCGAGCCCGAGCAGGCCCGAGGCCCGACCTGAGTTCGGGCCGGGCTTGGGCCTCATTTGGCGCTCAGCTGTCGGGTTCGCGCCGGGCTCGGGCTTCTTTTTTTAAATATATGTTTCTTTTTTATTATTAATATAATTATTTTTAAATGATTTTTATACATAGTGATATGCATATATATATTATATATATATTTATAACAATGTCCGTTGATTGACAACAAGTTATTAAAAAAAGTTAATATATTAATGACACCGTAACCAGCGTGTCCTACAGCAGCAGCGAGCCGTGAACGCATCATCCCCGTGTCTCCTGCTGCATGCGAGTGGAGACAAAACAAATTCAAAAGTGGAGACTAAACTTGCGATTGGAGGTGAGTGCGTACAACGGGAAATCAGATGTGTCGGGTTCTGTCGGGCTCGGGCCTGTATACAGTGTTCATTGGTCGGGCTTATACGGGCTCGGGCTTAACATTAGCGGGCTCGGGCCGGGTCGGGCTTCATTTTTCAGGCCCGAACGAAACTCTAGTCCACATGAGCTGTGTTTATTAAAAAGACAAAACTTTTTTTTTGAAAAATGAACCAAAAAATGAACCGAACCTTGGCCTCTGAACCGAGGTACGAACCGAACCGTGATTTTTTTCAAACCGTTGCACCCCTAGTTGCAACCATAGACTGTAAATATTGACTGATGTGTGTCCCTCAGGTGTCCATCACCTTTGACCCGTTCCTGTACCTGCCGGTGCCGCTGCCGCAGAAGCAGAAGGTTCTGTCAGTGTTCTACTTCAGCAAAGAGCCACACAAGAGACCCATCAAGGTACTGTCTGGTTGGGGGAGGGAGGGGGTGAGAGGGGGAGTCTGTGGTCATCATCAGTGAGATTCCACTCCACTCCATGACTCTCTCCTCTCTTCCCCCCCCTCCCCTGCCCCCCTCCCCCCTCTCCCCGACAGTTCCTGGTGAGTGTGAGCAAAGAAAATTCAAGTGCTGCTGAAGTTCTGGACTCTATCTCACGCAGCGTCAGAATCAAAGCAGAGAATCTACGGCTGGCAGAGGTCTGTTTATATGTCTGTGTGTGTCTTTGTGTTCTTGACCTGAATTAATGAATGAAGGTTTATTTGGTTACAAACAAATGTAAATAAAATACAAAATACATACAGTACAGAATAAAAGTTTAGACATATTTATTTTGTATTTTATTACAGACGTGTGTGTTTGAACTGTGTGTGTTGCAGGTGTGTGTGTGTGTTTGACCCGTGTGTGTTGCAGGTGTGTGTGTGTTTGACCCGTGTGTGTTGCAGGTGTGTGTGTTTGACCCGTGTGTGTGTTGCAGGTGTGTGTGTGTGTGTGTTGCAGGTGTGTGTGTGTTTGACCCGTGTGTGTGTTGCAGGTGTGTAAGAGCCGCCTGCAGAGACTGCTGCTGCCCTCTCAGTCTCTGGACTCGGTGTCGGCCTCAGATCTGTTGTTCTGCTTCGAGGTTCTGTGCAGAGACCAGAGCAACGAGAGGCTCCTGCTGCTGCGCGTGCATCAGGTCCGACTCAACTCTACAACAAACACACACACCAAGTTTACGCATCATTCTGTGGCTTCCATCGCGTAAAGTGACCATATGTGTTGCATGGAGCTGAGGGAGAAATGTGTCTGTGCTCGTTCTTGAAAGCAGTCTGACTGGGGACCAGGGCTCGTCACCTGACTGGACTCTTTTATTTCTTTTCCAGAAACTCCAGGTCCCGAACCTCCCCATCTCTAAATGCTCCTCGTGTCTGAAGCAGTCTGCGTCAGAGGACGACAAACTGAAGAGATGCACTCGCTGCTACAGAGTGGGCTACTGCAACCAGTGAGTCAGGTCCTCAGGTCCTAGTGTCCTCAGGTCCTAGTGTCCTCAGGTCCTAGTGTCCTCAGGTCCTAGTGTCCTCAGGTCCTAGTGTCCTCAGGTCCTAGTGTCCTCAGGTCCTAGTGTCCTCAGGTCCTAGTGTCCCCGAGGTCCTAGTGTCCCTGAGGTGCGTGTGTGACTGTGGTGTGTCCTCTGCAGAGCCTGTCAGAAATCCCACTGGCCTCATCACAAAGCCCAGTGTCGTCCGCACTCAGAGCTGGTGGGTTTGCCCTTCCTCATCAGTGTTCCAGAGTCCAGACTCACATACTCCCGCCTCAGCCAGCTGCTGCAGGGCTACTCCAGGTAACTCTCTCTGGTCACTCTCTGGTCACTCTCTGGTCTCTCTCTCTGGTATCCCTCTCTGGTCTCTCTCTCTGGTCTCTCTCTCTGGTCCCTCTCTGGATACATCTCTGGTCCCTCTCTGGTCCCTATCTTGTCTCTCTTTCTGGTCTCTCTCTCTTGTCTCTCTTTCTGGTCTCTCTCTCTGGTCTCTCTCTGGTATCCCTCTCTGGTCCCTCTTTGGTCCGCTCTGGTCTTTAATGATGGTCTTCTCTGCAGGTTCTCTGTGGATGTGTTCCAGCCTCCCTTTCAGTCTGGTCGTCTGTCTCCTGAGACTCGCTGTGACCTCCCCCTGCTGTCAGGACCCTCAGAGGGGTCTGAGGACGAGGGCCAGAGCGAGGGAGCCCGAGGGGGAGAGAGAGTGGAGATGGGGGAGGAGGGGGGCGACTGTGCCCAGGCCTCAGAAACCCCACAGACACCAGTAACCACGCCCACTGACCATGGTTAGGCCTGTTCTAGTTCATCAGAGCCAAAATGTCCTTACACCTGCTCTAGTTCATTTATATGGTTTTGCTAAAGCCTGTGTCTCTTTCTGGTCTCTCTGGCTTCTTTGTAGTCTTAGTGTCTGGTCTCTCTCTAACTCTCTTTCTGGTGACTCCCTCTCTGGTCTCTCTCTCTCTGGTATCTCTCTCGTGTCTTTTTCTGGTCTCTCTCTCTGATGTCTCTCTCTCTGGTCTCCCTTTCTGTCTCTGCCATGGTCTCGTTCCTGGTGTGAATGTACCGGTCTCTGTGTGTGTCCCTGTGTGTGTCTCTGTGTGTGTCTCTGTGTGTGTCCCTGTGTGTGTCTCTCTGCGTGTCTCTCTGCGTGTCTCTGTGCATGTCTCTGTGTGTGTCCCTGTGTGTGTCTCTGTGTGTGTCTCTGGGTGTGTCCCTGTGCGTGTCTCTGTGTGTCTCTGTGTCCCTGTGTGTGTCTCTCTGTGCGTGTCTCTGTGCGTGTCTCTGTGCGTGTCCCTGTGCGTGTCCCTGTGTGTGTCCCTGTGTGTGTCCCTGTGTGTGTCTCTGTGCGTGTCTCTGCGTGTCTCTGCGTGTCCCTGCGTGTCCCTGTGTGTGTCTCTGTGTGTGTCTCTGTGTGTGTCCCTGTGCGTGTCTCTGTGTGTGTCCCTGTGTGTGTCTCTCTGCGTGTCTCTCTGTGTGTCCCTGTGCGTGTCTCTGTGTGTGTCCCTGTGTGTGTCTCTCTGCGTGTCCCTCTGAGTGTCACTGTGTGTGTCCCTGTGCGTGTCTCTGTGTGTGTCTCTCTGCGTGTCCCTGTGTGTGTCTTTTTGCGTGTCCCTGTGTTTGTCTCTCTGCGTGTCCCTGTGTGTGTCCCTGTGTGTGTCCCTGTGCGTGTCTCTGTGTGTGTCTCTCTGCGTGTACCTGTTTGTGTCTCTCTGCGTGTCCCTGTGTGTGTCCCTGTGTGTGTCTCTGTGCGTGTCTCTAAACCCTTGGTGTGTGTTTCTCAGACTCGGGGATCTCAGAGCTCGGCTCATGTTGCTCCTCAGATCTTCAAACTGAGAAGGAGACGACCTGCGAGAAGAGCGTCCGACCTGAAGGTGAAGCACTCACTCACTCACTCTCTCACACTCACTCTCTCACACTCTCTCTCTCACTCTCTTACTCACTCTCTTACTCACTTTCTCTCACTCTCTCTCTCACTCTCTCACACTCTCTCTCTCACTCTCTTACTCACTCTCTTACTCACTTACTCACTTTCTCACACTCTCTCTCTCACTTTCTCACACTCACTCTCTCACTCACTCTCATGCTCACTCACTCTCTAACACTCTCATACTCACTCACTCACTCTCTCATACTCACTCTCTCTCTCTCACTCACTCTCTCTCACTTCCTCACACTCACACTCTCTCACTTTCTCACACTCACTCACTCTCTCACTTTCTCACACTCACTCACTCTCTCACTCACTCTCACACTCACTCACTCACTCACTCACTCACTCTCTCACACTCACACTCTCATACTCACTCTCTCACTCTCATACTCACTCACTCACTCTCACACTCTCATACTCACTCTCACACTCTCATACCCACTCACTCACACTCTCATACTCACTTACTCACTCACTCTCTCACACTCTCATACTCACACTCTCACACTCTCATACCCACTCACTCACACTCTCATACTCACTTACTCACTCACTCTCTCACACTCTCTCACTCTCATACTCACTCACTCACTCTCACACTCTCATACTCACTCTCACACTCTCATACCCACTCACTCACACTCTCATACTCACTTACTCACTCACTCTCTCACACTCTCATACCCACTCACTCACACTCTCATACTCACTCACTCACTCTCTCATACTCACTCACTCTCTCATACTCACTCACTCTCTCACACTCTCATACTCACTCTCTCATACTCTCATACTCACACTCTCATACTCACTCACTCACTCTCACACTCTCATACTCACTCTCACACTCTCATACTCACTCTCTCACACTCACTCACTCACTCTCTCACACTCTCTCACTCACTCTCTCACACTCTCTCTCTCACTCACTCTCTCGCACTCTCATACTCACTCACTCACACTCTCATACTCTCATACTCACTCTCTCACACTCACTCACTCACTCTCTCACACTCTCATACTCACTCACTCACTCACTCTCTCATACTCACTCACTGACTCTCTCACACTCTCATACTCACTCTCTCACTCACTCACTCACTCTCTCACACTCTCATACTCACTCTCTCACACTCTCATACTCACTCTCTCACACTCTCATACTCACTCACTCTCTCACACTCTCATACTCACTCTCTCACACTCTCATACTCACTCACTCACTCTCTCACACTCTCATACTCACTCTCTCACACTCACTCACTCACTCAACAGTAGGTATGAATGTAAATGAGAGAGTGAATGGATGGTGTTGGAGCTGATGGTCCAGTGTGTTCTGGATTCACTTCTGTCATCACCGTGTGTGGAAGGATTGGAACAATATCTGACTCTGAACATTGTTAAGTGCTTTGGGTCTGTACCTTGGTCTGTGAAATGTGCTGTATAAATAAACATTACTTACTTACTTACTCTCACTCTCTCTCTCTCTGTCTGTGTCACTCACTCACCACCTCACTCTCACTCTCTCACTCTCTCTCTGTGTCCAGCTGCAGTGACAGGATACCAGCAGAGCAGTGAGTGTGTCTCTGGACACAGTCAGTTCTACATCTCTGTCCTCGACAACAACAATAAGGAGCAGAAGCTGGAGGAGCGAGGTACTGAGTCTGAACACACTAGTCTCTCACAGTCTCTCTCTTTTCTCAGTCTCTCTCTCGTCTCTAGTCTCACGTGTGTCTCTTGTCCCCCAGAGGATGGCCTCCTGGACCTCACAGAGGACATGTCTCTTGAGCTGGTGTGGAAGAACAATGAGAGGTTGAAGGAGTATGTTCTGGTGAGCTCCAAAGAGCTGGAGTACGACGATGACCCTGGATCTCTGAGCGAGACGTCCAGAGCAGGACACTTCAGCCTGGAGCAGTGTCTCAACCTGTTCACCAGGCCAGAGGTGCTGGCCCCAGAGGAGGCCTGGTGAGACGCACACAAATACAAACGGACACACACAAACACACACCTGTCCAGGCCAGAGGTGCTGGCCCCAGAGGAGGCCTGGTGACACACACACAAACACACACTTGTCCAGGCCAGAGGTGCTGGCCCCAGAGGAGGCCTGGTGACACACACACACACATACCTGTTCACTAGGCCAGAGGAGGCCTGGTGAGACTCGCACTCGGAGACACACACGGACCAACACATGGAGACAAACACGGAGAGACACACACAGAAACAGAGAGGAGCCCTCCTGGTCTCACCTGGTCTCTGGTCTATGGTTCAGGTACTGCCCTAAGTGCCAGCAGCACAGAGAAGCCTCCAAGCAGCTGCTGCTGTGGCGTCTGCCCAACGTCCTCATCATCCAACTCAAGAGGTTCTCCTTCAGGACCTTCATCTGGAGAGACAAGATCAACGACATGGTGGACTTCCCCGTCAGGTACTGTCTTCGTCATACTGAGCCCAGATCCTGGTCCAGACCTGATCTAGACCTTTGGTTCTCTGCAGGAACCTGGACCTGAGTGAGTTCTGCATCGGTCAGAAGGACGATCTGCAGCAGCCTCCAGTGTACGACCTGTACGCTGTCATCAACCACTACGGAGGCATGATCGGGGGTCACTACACCGCGTACGCTCGGTTACCGAGTGACAGAGGCAGCCAGAGGAGCGACGTGGGTGAGTCGTAATGCTATATATACAGTACAGTCATATATATACTGTCATATATATACTGTCAAATATACTGACACTATATAGTGAGAGGTCACCACACCGCATAGGCATGGTGACAGCTCTCTTTCTCTCTCTCTCAGGGTGGGCTCTAACTCTCTCTCTCTCTCAGGCTGGGCTCTAACCCTCTCTCTCTCAGGCTGGGCTCTAACCCTCTCTCTCTCAAGGTGGGCTCTAACCCTCTCTCTCTCTCAGGGTGGGCTCTAACCCTCTCTCTCTCTCAGGCTGGGCTCTAACCCTCTCTCTCTCTCAGGGTGGCGTCTCTTTGATGACAGCACGGTGACGATGGTGGAGGAGTCGCAGGTCGTCACTCGTTATGCGTACGTCTTGTTTTACCGCCGCAGGAACTCTCCGGTGGAGCGACCACCGCGAGTGCCGCGACCCCTGGGGGCGGAGTCAAGCACCGCTGCAGGAGCAGCAGCCAATCAGGTGAGAGCACCACATCCAAGTGGAGATGATACAAAAGTACTCGTACACCTTTTACATATGGGGGTGGTAGCATTGTGCTTTGGGGCTGATTATCTTCAGCCAAATGTAGGTCGTATGAGATCTGATCAGGCACACACACGCACACACACATACATACAGACACACACACACAAGCATACAGACACACACACAAGCATACAGACACACACACAAGCATACAGACACACACACATACATACAGACACACACACACACACACAAGCGTACAGACAGACACACACGCGTACAGACTGACGTACAGACACATATGCAAACAGACACACACATATGCAAACAGACACAAACACCCCAAAACACCCCTAACTCTGTGTGAGTGAGCCTCCGCAGACCTGACTCCAGTTTCAACAATCGCAGGCGTCTCTGATTTGGCGAGAACTGGAGGAAGACGAGAGTCTGCGGCGACGTGTGCGAGGAAGAACCCAGCGGGTCCCTGGGGGCAGGGGGGACCAGTGGGTCCACAGGGACCACCAAGACCACAGGGACATCAGGGACCACCGAGACCAGACTCTGTCCCAGAACCAAGACGACGATTGGAGCAGATACGTGCTGCTTGTCACCGCCACGGCCGCCATCGCTCTGGTCTTTAACATGGTCTACGCCCTGGTCTACAGGGTCTGACCGGGTCTACGCCCTGGTCTACTGGGCCTGACCCGGTCTGGACCTTCCTAATCTTTGGCCTTTCTGACACTTCAGACTGAGTTCATAAAACTGGTCCCGTTTAGTATTCTCTGCTCCTATTGGTTGCCTGAGTGAGAGACTGGTGCTTCTGACCAATTAGAAGCACCAGCATGGACTGAATACTTCTTCCTGATTGGATGGTTATGTCACTGTTCCTCTACTCAAGTGTGGAACTTGACCCAAAGGGAGATCCTTTTATGAAAGATTAGACACTAGTCACATTGATGTGAATTAACAGAATAAACACTTTGGGGGTGACGGGGCTCACACCTGTTCTATGCAAATGTAGCTCTAAGGGCCGCTTTAACAGGGTCAGGGGTCAGGGGTCAGCTACTCACACTCATGGACCAGGAACAGATTTGGAAATGATTGTCTCAAAAATGAGTGAAAGGAATAAAAGGAGAAAATGGATGAGCCGCCGAGTGGTTAAATGTCAAAAATGCACGTTAGCTTTAGCATCCCCCTGGGCAGTGTAGCTCTAAAGCAGAGCTGGCTATAGTGCACGTTAGCTTTAGCCTCCCCCTGGGCAGTGTAGCTCTAAAGCAGAGCTGGCTATAGTGCACGTTAGCTTTAGCATCCCCCTGGGCAGTGTAGCGCTAAAGCAGAGCTGGCTATAGTGCACGTTAGCTTTAGCATCCCCCTGAGCGGTGTAGCTCAAATGGTGCTTTCAGACCGGATCATGATGCGTCGGCTTTCAACGCAAAGTCTATGATGACGAGCGTTCGAGCGTCATAATGCACTT